ATTACAAAGCATCACAAAGTAGTAGATAATTAAGGAAATATAAATAAGTGACGCACGTTAACACTATGGTGACAACTAAAAAACAAACACAAATACATATTACAAATACAAACAAAAGTTAACAAAATTAATAAACGAAAAACAATTGAAATCGTTTTATGCGAGATGCATGAAAAAGCAAACAAATTAAAATGACAATGAGGAACACGTTATTAAAAATAAAAAATAATAATAATAATTAATAATTGAGGACGACTACGAACGTACCTAACTATTAAAAAAAAAAATAATTAATAATATGAATAATAATAATAATAATAATAACTAATAAAGAATTAAACAGAGAAAGAGAAGGCAAACACGAAAAAAAAACAGAAATGAAAATAAATGAACTAATTTATCTTTACATATAATACACTAACACACACGCGACAGATAAAAAGATCTAAATACTTAACACACGTAAATACATACACACAGAATAAGAAACATACATAAAATATATAAGAGGCAAGCATCTACACGTTAAATAAGCGAAAATAAGAAGATTTATTTGCCATTCTTGCGATCTATCGATTATTGTCTAATAATCATCATCATTATTGATTACTATTATTCAATTATGATGATTCCAATTTTTTCTATAGCAAATAGTAGAAAAAGAAATATATGTTTATTTAACATTATTGTAAAAATATTTTTTAATTCAAGCGACGATGAACGTTTGTTTGAAATCTCAAATATTAATATTTTGATTTTATTTAATTATAAACATAAAAAAAATAATGATTTAGGATAAATTTATCCTGAAGTTTAGTACCAGTGACTAAATGTGGTTCGAGTAAAAAAAAATTAATTTATTGCAAAATTCATGTAATTAAATTTTAATGAATTATGCAATAACTTAATTTTTCTATTTAGTAAAATACATGAAAAAAAAAAACATTAGATAAAAAGAAATTTGTGATATTGTGATAAATTTGTGATACATATATAGATATTTATATATTTAAAGTTGAATATGTTTTATTAGATTCGATAGAAATTTATCAATCATTTTGTAAATTGAATTTTATATCTGATAATTGAATTATTGTGATTGGTGATGATACAATGATCGATTCGCAACATGAATGGCAAATAGGCGTTATTTCAGCGAATTAACGTTAAAAACAAAAGAAAAGGAAGAGAAAGAGAAAGTGAGAGAGAGAGAGAGAGAGAGAGAGAGGAACATCGAAAAAAGAAAGAAGGAAAAAAAGGGGGACGAAAGAAAAAGATGAAGAAACGAAAAAACACAGGATTTCAAAAAAGTTGAGAAAGGAACATAAAAAGGAAAAAAAGGAAAAGAAAATAAAAAAAAACTCACATACTCCTGCCACGCAGCGAGTCCTTAGACAGCTTTAAGATAATAATAATAATTATTAAATAATATAAATATTAATTATAAAATTAATTAATTAATTAATTAACAAAAATAATAGTGATAAAACTTTCTATATGTTGAATTGTGTCTAGTGAAAGAAGTAAAAAAAAAAACTATTGAGGTAAAAAAATAAAAAAAATAAATAAATATAACAAAAAAAAAACAAACTAAGAAAAACAATGCGGTAAAGAGAGACAGAGAGAAAAAGAGAGAGAGAGAGAGAGAGAGAGAGAGCGAGGAGAAGAAGAAAAAGATGAAGATGAAAAGAGGAAGAAGATAAAAAAAATTAATATAATTAAAATAAAGCAAATAATTAATTAATTAATCGATTATTTGATTTATTGATTGATTGATTACTTAATTAATTATTTAATAAAAAAAAGAGGTAATATACAAGGGGATAAAATAGAAAGAGAGAGAAATACAGAAAACACAAATGGAAATATTATTTAAACTATTTGCAAATAGGCATAATTGGGACGCAGTTTATATATGACCATTAGTTATCTCTAACGAAAACTGTTCTTTTTATTCACATAAGTAGAAAACGAGAGGTCAAAAGGTCGAAGAATAAGAAGGAACAAAATAATATGATGAAGAAGTAAAAGTTGACTGTTAGAATATAGCTTGGATGTTTCGTTTGCTGTTTTACAGGCGTTTGTGCAGTGTGGGGTTAATCGGTGATTCTTTCTTCTTAATACTATATATATATATATAAATAAATATATATATAGTATCAAGAAGAAAGAAAAGAAAATAAGAAATGGTGGTTTGCCGATAAGTCCACACACACATAAACTCATACACACATCTACGTTTATATATAATATTTAGTGAGTTCTAAATTCTCACTATTGTTATTATATCATTATTACTGCTATTATTACGTAGGGTTTTCATACCTACATATGGCCAATATTAACAACAACAATAACAACAACACAAACAAGTGATTCTAATTAAAATGATAAATATATACACACAAATTAACATACATACATACATACATACATACATACATACAATACATGTCCACACGAGCAAAACAATTAATTCACGTTAATAATTATCATCATCGATTTGGCTTTGTAATAAAAATATGCAGAGAGATAATAAAAGATTTGGTACCATACACATTTTGCATGGTGTTAGAAAAATATTATAAATTCAATATACGAATGAAAGAGAGAGAGAGAAAGAGAGAATAAAAGTATGTGTGAGTGTTTGTATGTATGAGCAAAAAGTTTGATCGTCGAATGTAATAAACGTACACTTGTGTATGAAAGATAATGTGTGTGTAAGAGTGAGATAGAAAGAAAAAAAAAGGAAGGAAGGAAGAATAAGTAAAAGAAAGAAAAATTAATTAATAATTCAAAAACACTTGTACAGAAAATTCTCCCCGTGTTTTACGTGAAAAATTGCGGCTCGTACTAAATATTATAATGTATCACGCCATAAGTATGAAGATTCTACCGTTAATACGTTTATTAATTAGCTCTTATTATTATTATTATTATTATCATAACGTCATCTTCATTATTATTATTATTACTATTATTATTATTATCATGATCCATGATTGATCATTGTCATCTTCGTTGTTGTGGTAATTTTCATTACAAATATTCCTCCATCTCTTCCTCCTCCTCCTCCTTCTACCCTCAATTCAATGGCGAACATAATCTTTCATCCTTTTCTCTCTTGAATTATCTTTTATTGTTTTTTATTTCCGTTTTAAAATCCTTATCTTATACGTTATGCAAATTTTTATTTTCATTATTATTATTATTATTATTATTATTATTATTATTATTATTATTATTATTATTATTATTAATATAGTTATTAATCTTCTTCTTCTTCTTATTATTATTATTTTTATTATTATGATTCATATTATTATTATTAGTTAATATAAATTAATTATTATTATTATTATTACTATTATTATCATTATTGGTTATTATTATTATCACTGCTGCTGCTAAGATTATATTGTCATTATACTTATTATTAAGATTATTCTTATTATGATTAATTAGTACCATCATTACCAATGCACACAAACAAACCATCGATTTAATAACTTCCGCTCGCTATACTTACCAACAAAATGCAGACCTCAAGTTGTCCAATCTTTTCTTTTTTTTTCGTTTTTTTACAAATATTTAATTATTTTGTTAGTTTTTTGTTTAATCAAATCCTAAACCTTTGTTTATTAACCCTTAATGGTTCAAAAGTTATTACCCTAATGATATTTAAAGATACGAATATTTTGATAATTCATGAATAGAGTTTGTTTAAATTTAAATAATATTTCCATGTATCTCTCTCTCTCTCTCTCTCTCTCTCTCTCTTGTTTAAATATTATTATAAATATTAAAAAACAAAAAAAAATAGGTGGTGTACTGTTAAGGGTTAATTTTATCTCCCAGTTCACTTCTCAATCGTATCGATCTATTATTCTTTTTTATTTCTATGGGAATCTTTCGTTATTTCGATAAAATGGAGAAATATCTGTTGAGATAAAAAAAAAATCTAAACAAATTTTCGAGACTTAAAGAAAGATGAAAAATAAGATAAACGTATGTAAATGAAAAAAAAAAGAACCTTATGCACCCGCGTTYTCGTTCTCTTTATCCGCGTGCGTGCGTGCATGCGTGTATGTGTTCGTACATGCGAGTGTATAATATTAATTATAATATCACGGACTTGTGGGATATGAAGTAATCCAAATAAAAATAAAATTGAAAATAAAAAGAAAAAAAAAGAAAATGAAGCACCAAAGATTAAAAAAAGGAGAATCTAAAAATTTAGTATCATTGAAGGATTGAAAAAACAAAGCTTTCGAGGACGACTTATTTCAAAATTCACGACAAAATTGAAGCTTTTTTGATTTATTTAAAAAAAAAAAAAAAACGAATTGGTTTAGCAATAGCGGAAAATTTCAAATTATTATTTGATTGTTTTAATTTAGGAATTTAAATAAAGGTTTATTTTATATTAAAAGATATTTGATAGGGCGAATTCATAATGGCGCATGTGCAGAACTGATATCTTTGAATTGCATGACTGAAAAATCGCCATATTGGAGGATTATAATTTTAAATAGAATTTCGAGGGTACGGTGATCAAATTTCTCTCGAAGTCATTTCTATCGTCGTTGGAACGACCAGTCGTTGTAAGACTGGCATTCCTGCCCTAAAACGTATATACTTCTCTGGGCTCAGGATTCTATTATTATTTGGCAGCGACGTAGTCAAATTTTGAAATTTTAAACATACGGATCTGTCCGTTTTTATTTTTAGGCCTTTTTTCTATCGTTTTAATCTACTAACGAGAAACACACACGATACATCAGATTATTCTGTAAATTAAGATTTTTTGTAAATTAAGAAAGGAAGAATCAAAAAAAAAAAAATCAATGGAAGACAAATGAAAAAAAGAATCCTTTTAGTTGCAAATTTCTGTCTCCGTTTAAAAAATATAAGATAGTTAATAATAAAAATAAAAATAATAATAATAAATAAATAAGTAATACAATATAATAATAATAATGATAATAAAATAAGTAATATCAATTTAATAATAATAATAATAATATTATTAATTAAAATAATTAAATCATACGTATGAAAATAATTCGTATACGCGCGCACGTGCACATACATGCATTTTGAATTTCGTGTGATACATGGAAAAAAAAAGAAGAAAAACACTAATTGGTATGACACGCACCGCACACACACACACACACACACACGCGTATTTGTATATGGACGAGATCATCTACCGTTTGTCTATCCTTGTTAAATTTCATTTGTATTTTCAAGCAAAAAGAAAGAGAAAAAGCAAAGGGATGATAACTTAATTTATTATTATAATTTCATATAGGGTGATAAGTGAAATTTTCACTTAATATCAGTCGATCTTTCGATGGTGCTTTTATTATATTATACACAAAAATTCAATTTTGACGATATTTACCTCGATCTGTAAAAAAATCACATGGAGAACCTCCTTTACTCATATTTCGGCTTCGACAGGTGTCCCAGTTGAAGAAACCTAACAACAACAACAAAAGCAAAATCGAGAAACGTCAAAGTGATCAACGGCAGCGTAATGAAAGCTTGAAAAGACGCAAATCCTTACCCCAACACGGAGAAACATCATCCACCGTCAATCTTATCAAATCCATATCAGTTTCCGTTTCCCAGTTACCAGCATCAACAATAACAACAACAACAACAACAACCGCAATTCCTGCATTAACGGTCCCATCCATCATCGATCCATCATCTCCTAATGTAATAACTACGTCGTTAATATCCACTGCAATTGTTGGACAAAAAAGTAACGTAACCGATGGAAATGTTTCTAATAATTCGGCTAACAATAAGTCATCTTGCGATATGCAAGGTATTTTGCAGTTCGAACCTATCGAAATTTAAATTTCCCGCGCGTTAAATTATTTTCGATATTTTCACGTATATATCGAAGAATTGAAGTTCGTTTGTTCTCTTTCCGCATAGAGCATGCGCATTAGTTGTTATATTTCCGCGCATGCGCTTTATTATATTTCGCTAAACGTGCGCGCGTAATTAGTTTCTACGTTTGTTGACTTTATTCTGTTATTTAAATTTACTTAAATTTTTCACGAATGCTTTTAAATGAAAATCATTCCATTGTTTTCAATGATACAAAGATTTCTCATTCATTAATTAATTAATTATAAAAATTTAGATCTTCTTGGAGATCTTAAGAAAAATATAAAAAAAAAAATCAAGTTAAATACCGTTCGAGAGTTCATACTTTTTATAAGTTTATTTTAATTCATTGCGCGTATGTGCTTCATGATATTCATATGTTTATCATGCGTTTATTTTCTTCGTGTTCACTTTTTATGATAAAAAGCTTCTTACATAGATTCTAATCGGTTTCTTTAGATATATTACTCTTTATTGTTCGAAAAAAATCAATGTACGAATATAAAAAAAATATAATTTGGTACTTTTGTGACAAATTGAATATCAACGAGTGAAAAATAAAAATTTTAAGAGCTGTTCTTTATCATCTATGACTCTTGATTGTTTTATTTTTAATTAATTTTAAGAGAATAAAAACTCCACAAATCTTTGACATTTTCATTTTACATGAGACCTGAGTGTAAAACTTTATGTTCACCTTTCTAATCAGAAGACTGATGACAACAAATAAATTCGACGTGGAAGAATATATAATACGTATGTATATATAATATATTTTCAATTTATGAGACATAATATTTCTTTTTTTATATTCTAAAGTAGGTATTCTCAAACAAAAAAACCCTAAAGTGATCTCATATGGAGTCACAGAGATTTTAACAAATCAAAAAAAAATGTCTGAACACGCAATGATTGAAAATTAATTTAAAACCAGTTTAGCAACATTAAAGTCTATGAGTTTGTAATAGTGAAAGAGAACAAATTCAAGAAGTCTTGTCTTCTAAATTAGATTATTGATTTATTATTTCATTTAATTAATATTAAAATAAATAATATAAATAAATTAATATTTATATTATCATTTTTATTAACGTATAAATATTTTGAAATTTTGTAGAATTATCGAAAAAACTTTTAAAACTGAGATATTGGTCGAAATAAAATTATTCTATGAGATTGATAGATAAAATAATATATTTATAAAAATATTTCAGCCTATATACATATATTATTATCATTATTGTTAATTATTTATGCAGATAAATTGATTAGCTAGATAATCTGAGATGAACGGAAGCCATTCGGGAAAATGTGAGAGTAAAATCAAAATATCGTCTTTATTAGATTCATAAATTTCTGTTATTTTTTCTAATATATAAGCTTTCGAATTAGACGTATGATAATGGGGCTCTATTCTTAATAAAATAATACACGAATGCAAATATTTGGGATAAAGATCTAATATATCTTTGTCCTTATTTTGACAATGAGCGAGAATACGCTTCAATGTCGCTTGTATAAATGTTAAAACCATAGGTGCGTATTCTAAATGTACAAACAATTCTTTCAAAAAATTACATATTAATTGAAATATGTATGGTGATAGAGCTGCGAATTCGAGTAATTCGTTTACTGAATGTTTAATCTCTTCTTGGCAATCTTTATCGACTTCTGTATTAATATTGAGACAAGTCGATGTAAAATCTTCAATTAAAACTTCCTCTATTAGTTTATATCGCTGTGAATGATATATTCTTTCTTTTGTAGATAAACTAAGTCCAAGTTGTGCACTCTGTTGTAAAGCATAACATAACAATTTTTCACTTTCATTAGTAGATTCCAAGTAAGAAAGTTTAGCAATTATCTTTTCTATATAATACACAAAACGAGTATTATATTTAGCAAGACACATTAATGCTCCTGTTAATGATGTCAATGTGTAAGTAGACACACATTCGTCTAAAACATCTGGTAGATATTTTTCCATTAAATTTTCAACAAATTTCGACGTATTTTCTCTGTCTCTAAATATGTGTAAAGATTGAAATCTCTCAGTTATGCGTAATAATTCACGCAATGTATCCTGCAAAATTTAGATACTTATAGTTAGTTTATATAGATGTTTTGTACATAGATTATTAATAACAAGAAAAAGTAACTTACAATAACGTGAAGACGAACAGAATATCTTTGGTAAGCTTCTTTGGATACTTTGTAGTACAAAAGATTAGAAAATGATGTAGATAAGGCACGTAAGACAATGTCGGATCTTGGTACAAATGCATTCGTATTTAAAAAATCTTTATAATCTTCCGTGTTTTCAATACTCTTCTCTGCATCCTCACAGCTATGTAATATCGTTCTTAAAATTCTTACATCCATTATTGTTTTCGATATCTGAAAACAATAGCACTTATATTTAATAATGATATTATAGTATTGTCTATTTTATAAAAGGAACTCTTGAATATTATTAATAAATTAATGTTAATTATTCGTACGTACCGAAAATATATACACGATTAATACGAAATAATTATGTGTAAAATAATTAATATATAATATATATATATAAATTATTATTATTAATATTATTATTATTTAATCACAAAATTTCATTTACATCCCTTAAAATTTTATTAATTTTATAATTTGTCATTTAATCCACATTCGACTCATTAAGATAACCTATAAACATAATACTATTGACCAGTATTACCAACATTACAGATAAAATATCTAATAACATGGTATAAATGATATCTTGTAGAAATACATTTATTATTATGAAACATAATGTTTTTCTAATAACTTTGCAATAATATTACATAGTAAACAGTCATTCAACTTGAATTCCTTCTTGAAACTTTAAAGGTTTAGAATGTTTCAATTCATATTCAAGTTGATCAGCTCGTTTTTGAAAGAGTTTGGCTAAATCTGTATCCTTTTTAACACCATGCCCTCTTAAATACATCTGTGATACATTTGCACAAGCATATGGATTTCCAAATTCACAACATTTAAGTGACAATTTATAAGCCTCTTTAATATTAGGTTTTAAATAATCCTGTATTCCCTTTAAATAAACTCCTGAGAGAAAGTAACATGCTTTCTCTGAATTGAGATCGTAACATGCCTTATTTAGTCTAGATATTCCTTTATTAATTTGTTCAGAAAGATTATCATCAAATTCATTGGTTATAGCAAGAATACCGGAGTGAAGACAACCACTGTCACTATTTAAATCGCAAGCTTTTACCAAATATTTGTATGCTTCATTGATATCTTTTTTATAACCTCTACCTATAACAAGAAAAACAAAACAAAAATATAAAACCTTAAACTCTTTAAAAGAAAATATTTTATATTTATTTTCATAAAGTTACAAAAAAAGATTCAAAGAGTGTATTGTTACCGACCGAGAAACTTAATTTAAAATGCTGCCATCTAGTAGTTAAGACGTAATTTAACTTCTTACCGATAATAAGATATTCTCCGTATTTGGTACAACTTTTTGGAAAATTACGTTCGTCACAATTTGTTTTATAAAGTTCTGCTGCTTTCTTAAAATCTTTTTTTATGGCTTCGTTGAAGTCACCCAAGAGATGACAAACTAAAAATATGAAAATTGTTATTGATAATCGTTCATTGATATAGGTTAAGTTCGTCTAAAATTACATTTTTTCGCACCTTCTGGATTTTTTTCGCTATAACAACCAAATTTATATTCGATGTGAAGATTTTTCAGATATTCTTTAACTTCTTCTGGCTTTTTTAAATTATATGACGAAGACATTGTTTTCTTTTTTCATAGACAAATTGTATAAATCGTACGAATATATTTAACACCGTACAGAATCACATTATATGTAAGAGTAAGAGAGAAAGATGATTGGAGTGGGAGTTAGAACGCACGACCAATCGTATGCTCGGATTGATTGAACGCGCGTTTCTTTGGTATTTTCGAACGAGCGCCATGCGCATAAGCAAAATGACGACGCGAGAGGTGTCGCATAAGTCGTGAAATTACTTTAATAGCTTCGACAGTTCCGCTTTTCGCGTCGTTTCGCGTATACAATTTTTCTGTACATCATTATTTTTTCCTACTTGTTGTTAAAAAAAATAAATAAAAGTGTTTTAGTTATATTTTATATAAGTTAGTTTTTATGCATTATAACCATCGCATGCTGGCAATAAAATATTGTTTTTATCCAGGTAAGTAAATTTCAAATAAATGTAATATTTTAACATAAAATAAATCAAATAATATTATAATATGGTGATTATACAAATGATAACAAAAGGAATGATGTTAATAATAAAAATATTAGATTATATTTAAGATAATTTGAATTTTTTCTTATCGCGTTATGAAATTTGATTTATTTCATTTGACTTTTTAAAATGTATCTTTTTATTTATTTTTATTTTTATTTTCTTTTGCATTAAAGCGTAATATAACTGTGCAGTTTTATTATGATCTTGATATAGACCTTAACTATAGTTAGGGGTTAGATATTGCTTTAGTAGATCGAAGTTTAGGGTATACTCGGTCAGTCGGTTACTATGTTATCTGCTTTGAAATCTCTTATTTCTCTTTTTTCTTTTATTTATGTTAAAGTAAACAATATTTTTATTAATAAAAAGAATGAAATGTGAAAGTAAAACATTTGCTTTAAAAACAGCAAAAAATTTTCAAATAACTCAATGCTTATAACATTAAATTGTTTGGAAAGTACTCGATATTTCCGTAAAAATTTGTTAACGTATATTAAAAATATTCATCAAATTTATCAATTAATTAGCATGAATTTTTTGAACAAAATCCAATTTTTATATCATATTAAATTATTATTAATATTAATATTAATTTATAGTCATTTAAAAATAATAATATACGATTATTGCTTTAACATTAAATTGTTATATGTAACGATATTTGCCCTTACATATTTGATTAACAAGTAGTTTTGACCTTGTGAATAACATATGTATCTATATATCACGTTCGTCATACAATGTGTACATAAGTATATACTTAATATTCGATCGTAAAACATGAAGATACATATGTAGATAGAAACTCTTTATTATAGATTTTATTGTTGCGTCTGACTATTCAAATATACTAACTTATCGCTTATTATATCTTAACTTTCACGATCTTATCATAAACATATTAAATGATTCATCAATTTACTATTTTGTATCAATTCATTCATAAATTAATTATATAAAAAGAAATTAATTGCATACTTAAATTGAACACTAGATATATCATCATTTTTAGTATACCTATTTCTACCACACTAGTCAAAATGACTGGTGTATAAAAAAAAAAATGTTTTTTGAGGCTTCCAATCTTTATTTATTCTTAAGAAATAATAAAAAATGTTTAATAGATAAATGGATTTACAGATATTTTTAAATAACAAAACGTTTAATTATTTACAGAAATCAAATGTTACATGAAGTAGAAATTTTGAATTAAAATGGCCGGACTAATCAAAATGAAATATGGTATATCTAGTGTTAATAAAAACATACATAGATCTATATTAATAAAAATTTATATTTATATTTTCAATTATTATAGTAAAATGCAAGATAAATTTAACGACTTGTTATCAAACGATTGTAAAAGGAACGTATCCTTTTAATTATCTTATACAAAAAATAATATTTTATTAATAGGAATTTATAAATGAAGAATTTTATTAAAACGTTCAAGTATCTACAAAGTTTATCATATACTCGATATCATTTTTTTTTTTTACAACAAATTGAATATATTTATTTTCAATATTATTTCAAAACTTTTTGTAAATAAAAAGAAGAATTAAAATTTGTTGTCATAATTTTAATATTCGTAGTTTCTTCTTCTTTTTTTTTTGTTTAAAAGAGAACCCACAGTAAAAGGGACAGTAAGAAAGAAAACATATTAAATTACACATAAAAAATAATATAAACAATATAAATAAGAATAATTGTTTATAGATGAGCGAGTCGGTAAAAGTTGCCGTAAGATGTCGGCCCATGTCAAATCGAGAGGAACAACAGGGATGCAGGGTACGTCACGAGAATTAACAATCAACAACCATAATAAAAAAAGAAAAAACAAAAAGAAAACACAAAAATGATATCGTTCAGTAGAGCAGTAGAACATTGACCAAAAACATCCACTTGATTGATGCACTTGTTCCACTTAAATCCAACGTTCGCACTAATACATACCATCAAATACATAGATATATACCACATAAAATGTGACATGGCACGCATGCATATTTCTTTAATTTTGTTTATTTTTTTTTTTTGTATGTTTTTCAAACCTTCATCGTTATATCGAACGCATTGTAACTTAGCGACCGTACCAACAAAACAAGGGACGTTTGCTCATTCCTGGACATGCCATTCTTTTGCATTTATATATATATATATATATATATACATTTTTTCTTCTTAAAAATCTTCATAAAAACAAATGTACAACCAGTTGATTACTTATTTTATTCCAATATTCTCGTGTATTTTTTTATAAATGAAATTTTATATACGTTGGAACAAAAAATGATGTTTCCTATCTTTCGTTGTATCTATCTTTTATATGTATTTATATACATATATGTTTGTATGTAGATATTTTCTAGTAGTCGCGTGCATAGCACGCTGCAAAAGTAGCGCGAAGACTATCTTGCTTGAAATATCGATTCGACATACACTTTTGTTCTATCGATAAGTACCCATATGATATGCAATAAAAAATATCTATCTATATATATATATATATAGGTATTCACGTATTTTTGCGTGTATGGTTTTAACAAAAAATTTGGATGTATATTATATAATGTAATTATTTTAAAATATATATGCAATGAGTATCTATACGAGTGTGTGTGTGTGTTTACACTAGGAAGATAAACTGTTTACATTCATTTGATTTTTCTATACATAGATAAAATCGTTAATCGAGTAGAGTCAATCGATTTAGTTCTTTCTCGTAAGTTTATGAATACGGATCGATAGATATGCATCTTTCAAGTGACATGCTTGAACCTTGACCTATATTTCAAATTCTTCTTGATAAGTTATAATATTAAATTTATGCGATGCATTCGACGAATACCGTGACATTGATCGACAAATTTGCAAAGATAATTAATAGATTATCTTTATATTGCGTTCATTGTAATATATTTGATTTTATTTTATTTTATTATATATATATAAATTAAAGGCAAAGCTTGAAATCCGGCATTCTATAGAATGCCTAAAACTAGCCGCCAATGTATGAAATGTATTCATATTTCATACATTGCCTAAAAACGCCGGGCATTATATATAATGCCTAGTTATTTTATAGAATACCTGCTTTCATACATTACCGGTAACATGTATATTAAAACAAAAAGTATAATTTATTTATAGCAAGTTGATGTATTCGTTTTAAATATTTTTAATAACTTTTTGTAGATAAAAATAGAGGATTTTTTGTCATTTTTTTATGTTTTTATTATTTTCATATACACGAGATTTTATTTTTTATTACATATATATAATTTTTATTTGTTTTTTTTGAAAAGATATATATATATATATATATATATATATATATATATATAACATGAAGTAGAAAACTATAAGACCGACTGTCGGTTTTAAATATGGAAATCTGCAATATCGATTGTTTGTAATATGTTCATTATTAAATTAATTTTGTGCAAAAATTGAACTATTCAAAATTGAATACACTTACAATAGGTTTTACCACCCTATAATTTTATTAAAAACAAAAAAACATATATATTTTAATATTATTATCATTAAGAACTATTACTATTACTATTTAAAAATGATTAAGAATTGAATTCACGTCGTAATTGAACGTATTAAAAGTTAAGTTATAAAAAGAATGACAATAATCAATTCGTAGAACGTGGTGACGATCGACAGGTTGACAAAATGTTGTACACTGGAGAGTCCTTCATCGAATGGGTTGACAGGAGGAAAAGTGTATCAATTCGATGCAGCATTTGGTGCCGAGGCAAGCACGGAATTAGTTTACGAAGATGTTGGATCGGTCATCGTGGAAGCTGTACTTCATGGTTACAATGGTACAGTCTTTGCTTATGGGCAAACAGGTTGTGGAAAGTCTTATACGATGCGGGGATTCATCGAACGTACATTGGAACATCTTTTCGAAGCAACTTCGACATCCAGCACGGAGACACGTTATCTAGCAATACTAAGTTATCTCGAGATATATAACGAACGTTTGCGAGATTTATTGAAAGAAGGTACGGGAGAGACGTTGTTGATGTTGAAGGAAGATTCTACCAAAGGAATTTACGTGGCTGGTGGTTTACGCGAGGTCACAGTCAAGGACGCCGCGGAATGCGCTCGTTTGATTGAACAAGGCGATCGAAAAAGAGCAGCCGCAGCCACAAAGATGAATGCAGCAAGCTCGAGGAGTCACGCTGTTTTAACGCTGGCACTTGAAGCAATAGCCATCAATGAAAATGATAAGGGTGGTAACGCTATTAGAAGAGGGAGACTTCATTTGGTCGATTTGGCTGGTTCGGAAAGACAAACGAGAACTGGGGCTACTGGGGATCGTTTGAAAGAAGCTGCCAGTATTAATTTAAGCTTGTCTGCTCTTGGTAATGTTATCAGCGCATTGGCTGCTGGTAATGGCCGACATGTACCATACAGGTAGAATTCCTATTTCTATTTTATTTTATTTTTTAAGATGTTTCATCTTATTTACGATATTTTTATAGGGATAGTAAATTGACTAGATTATTGAGGGACAGTCTTGGTGGCAATGCAAGAACTTTGATGATAGCTTGCATCAGTCCAAGTGATATCGATGCCGAAGAAACATTGAGTACACTTCGATACGCAGCCAGAGCACGTTGCATCAAAAATAAGCCAATCGTTAACGAGGATCCTAAAGATGCTTTACTCAAACAATATCAATTAGAATTAGAGAGACTTCGAAAATTATTGGAATCGAGTGATAAAATACCAGATCAAACTAGTTTTTCGAAGGACGAGCAAGAGGAAAACATCGAGCTAAGAGAAAGGGAATATATCGACGAAGTCGAAAAATTGAGAAAAGAATGCGAAAGTTCGAATTTATCAGCGCAAAGATTACGCGAGGAACTTGATCTTTTGAGGTCTAGATACGAGAATGCAAACGTCAAGCCTGCGTTGCTTGAAGGTAAACATGTTATGGATGAATTGGATAAAGAACGCGAAGAAAAACGTCGGAAAAAAAGAGAGGCCGCTAAACAAGAAGTATTAAGAAGATTAGAAAAACTTACCATTGGTGGAGAGGCTCTTGACAATACTGAGTTAAGAAAACGAAGAGAGAAGAGAAGAAAAAGATTGCAAGCTCTTGCTGGTGTCTTAGAAGCTAGTAGTCAGGATGGTGGGGTCTTCCAAGTTTATGGTCAACTCAGGTTCAGTACAATTTCCATGTTAATTAATTCATTTATCTCTTATCATAGAAAGTAAATCTAAACAAGCCATTTATAATCAGGTCTACTGAAGATGCATTAAAAAGAATGGCAAAAAGAGTACGGCAATTAGAAGCGGAAGCAGCCGATCTTCAAGCATCATGGGATGCTGAACGTCGCGATCTTTTACGACGAGAATTACTTACGTCACAATTATGCGAAGCAATGGTACCACATCTTAGACCAGGTTGTCCACTCCGTGACATAGCATCGGTAAGAGCATCGGCTACTTGGTGCGAGGAATTAAATCGATGGAGATTTCCGGATGCATCAACATACATTCCTTTACCACCTACGTCCATGCAATATCGTGATGGTACCATTAATAATGTACCGTTACATTCAAGTACAATATTTAAAGCAGATCTTAATAATAACAATAGCAGTAACAATGGAAAGGAAGAGGAGTATCGAAAAATTAATGTTGCCTCTAAGGAGACTACTAATGAGGCAAACAACGATAACAACAATACTGAGACTACCAAAAAACTTGATATCGTTGACACTTATTTTCGAAGGAACAGGATTGATACTTTGTTGGCACGTGTTAGAGAAGCCAAAACATTTGGTAGGAATCATTTTTATTGGGTTAATATTTATAATAAAATTTCAGTATGCACATTATATCAATATGTATCCAAAATATTGATCAAAAGTATTTATCAATCCTTACTATTACAAATAAAAGTATATCTTTTCTTTTCTTGCATAATTCAAAGCAAAACAATTGTTTTCTTTTATAAAGTAATAAATGCAACTTCTGTTTTTAATGTTCGGGTATACTCGAGCGAAAGGATCGTTTACTAAACACTTAAGAAACGAAAGTAGAAATGAATATGAAATATAAGCAACTAAGTAACCAACCAAGTAACCAACGAAGCAAGCAAGCAAGCAACGCTTTCACGATTCGCTCGGAGTATCCCTATCGGTGTAAGAACTAACGTTTAGTATGTCGTATGAACACAAGGCGGAAACTAACGGCACCTTCTTCTTCCTCTTCTTATTTCTTCTTTTTTTTTTCAGAAATAGGAAGTCGTCTGAGCAAGTCTGGTGGCTCAGAGGATACAACAACGCCAGCTAATAACTACCTTCAACTCAACGCTTTGAACTTGCAAAGCAGTGCACCTGTCATTACCGAATCTACCGGTTACAAGCCAAGTCAACATCTACCACTTCCTGGACACTTAACAAGAAATGCGTGGACCTTCGAAGACAATCCTACGAACAAAACTTATGGTTCATTCGTTACAAATACGAAAAAAAATCCACCAAGGATTTTAGAAGCTTTACCATCCTATCCGCAAGGAAATGGACAAATTATTAACGCTCCCTTTCATTTCAATGAAAAGATTAGTTCAAGATTAAATTCTAATGGGGATCAACAACAAGAAGAATTACGTAGACGTCGTTTGCTTGATCTCGATAGAAATTTCCATTCCCCAACAAGCTGACGAAATTGATGATTTAATGAAATTTGTATATAAAATTTATGCGGTTGACATAATCGCTGTTTTTATTGCAATTTTTTCGTAACGTTAATTAATATTGTATTTACGTTAATTTATTACAAATAATCATGACAAATCAAAGGTGTCAAGAATATTTTCGAAATATTTTTACAAACGATTGGGACTGATCATTTCAGTAATAAAATAGAAAATTACAGTGTCTTTGTACATTAAGTTCAGAAATTATTTCGCAAATGGTTTGATCATAATTCGAGATAACTTGAGAAAGAGAGAGAGAAAGTTCACACACACAATTCTCAAGTTACATTACTTAACATCTAACGTGTTGAAATTATCGTAGCAAAATTATGACCAAACTTTGTTCGTTACTTTAATAACTTGTAAAAAATGTATAAATGTAATATTTCATGAGAGAGCAATATTTCTTTTATCTGTCTACTTTCTGTATGTATGTTAAACATGCGCGTACGTTGTATCTGTGTGTAATACTCGATAGTTCCCGCTCAAACCATTACGAATTTATTTATCATCTTTTCTTCCTTTTTTTGTAATCATACGTAGGAATTGACGTAACTCATCGACTCCGTTCTTCATCCTTTATATATTCTTTTTCTTTTTTTTTTTCAAACATATTACATGACAATTGAAAAGTAAATTTGTTCAATTTTGCACGTAAAAATTCACCAAAAAAATCTTCAAATGAAGAAAGGAAAGTATTTTAGTACGTAATTTCATACATCGTTTAAATAAAAATTTTTAACAAGAGTAAAAAAAAAATGTTGAACAAAATTTAAATCACATTAATTAACATAAGAAAAATTTCATTCAAATCTTTAAACAATCGTGCAGAAATTAATTCATAACGTTTAATATGAGAAAATAAATAATACATAATAAATATAATATATATATATCGCAAAAAAAGAGATGATAAAATTATAGTACAATTATCGTTTCGGCATGAATGAAACGTTGAATAAATTATTTTTATAAATTAGATGAACAGCTTTATGTTATATAGAAAAAAAAGAAACAAAAATAAAAAACAGAAATTTCAAATAGAAAACAGAATACCAAATCTGTTATATAAAAACTAAACAAAATTATAATTAAGAATTTAAAGTGGAAAGAACTTTTAACACGTGTAAGAATTTGGAGAGGGAAGAAGGGCAAGGTGATAGTTATCTGGTATTTGTAGGTAAAAGAAAAAGTTGCCTTGGATATTATAATTTATTCCGAGAAATATATTACGTCAGTCTTAATTATCATACAATCCGATGCTATATGGAAATTCAATTTAACCATTTAAATATAAACAAATTTTGTTCATTTATTTAATGATGAGTAGTACCTTGTTTACAATTAACAATCAATAATTCAATTAGACTTTCATTTGTTATTTCTATAATTGATTGTTCAAAAATGAATTGTCTTCCACCGGAATATTTCTAAATACATTACTTTGGTTTTGATTTGCATAAGTATTGCTGTGTAGATAGGAAAGAAATGTTTCAAGGCAAGATTTAAACGATACGATAACGTCAGTTCATTTTTTACGAATTTTTTCTTCTTTTTAAGTGCAATGGGGTGGTAATAGAAAAAGGTTTTAGAAAAATGTTCGATTTACATTTTTTCAGGTGCTATGAAGAATATGCAGTTTAACAAAAAAAAAAAAAAAAAAACAAATTATTTATGTTAATGAATATTTTTTTAATTAAAATGTTTATTTCTTTTAATTGATAATAAAATTCTGAATACTTTTATTAAATAATTGAAAGTATACAACTTTCTCGTGTAGTTAAACGAAAGAAAAAAAAAAAATAACAAAAGAAAAAATAAACTAAATTAATGAAATAAATAGATAATGGAAGTGAAAGATGGAAATAAAATGTTCACGATCGTGTTAATCTAAACGCGAGTTGGATATTTTTTACATATCGTTCAAATTATTCTTTTTTTTTTATGTATTGCAGTTAACTTTCATTTGATAAGCGAGTATTCGTAAAAATATAAACACAACATTTACAAAGATTATATATATATATGTATATAATAAGGGAATACATATATATATATATATCACAGAAAAGACACGTTCGCTTTCGTTCGTTCGGACGAAAGTCTCTCGACGAGTAGAAAAATAATAAAAAGAGAGGAATCGAAGAAAGAGTGAAAGTCCTTTCTCAACTTCATATATATACATACTAAAATACATACATATATACATACATACAAATATATACTTTGAATTTATGAACAAATATTACATATTACTATTATTTATTTAGCTAGTATGTTTGTTAATTCATGGTAAGTACTTTTTAAATTACATAATTATTATATAAATTATATATGTGATATAAGTAATTAAATGTTGTTATATGAATGTATATTAATTATTAAAAAATTATAAATATTTTAATTTATAATATTTTTTCTTTTTTCTTTTTTCATATTAGAAAATTACAAAACGTTCTTCTTTTGTATTTTATTATTACTTTTATAAGATTATAGAAATAATTAAATATATTTTTTCGTAAAAGAACAAATATATATATATATATATATATCAAGAAAATGTATAAAGAATTAATAATTATATATAAATATAAATATAATTATAATTAATATAATAAATCAATAAATATTTAATTTATTATATTATTATTATAATTATAATTATAATAATATTTATTAATTATTATTATATTAATATTATATTAATATAATAAATAAATATAAATATAATTATCGGTCATATTTTGTTTTCTTTTGCTATTATTATTGTTATTATTATTATCATTATTAATTATTACATCATCGCATTTCATAATAGAAAGAAAAAGTGTATCGAATATTGAATCGCATCAATTTAATATTCATATGCTACTTTGTCTTTGATCATCCTATCTTTTTCTTCTGTTTATATCGCAACAACTTGCCATATTATATTTGTAAATAATTCTGTCTTTTTAATCATCCAACCTATGGAAATTTCCTCACATTATTAACACGAATCGAATGACGGTTAAGATCCTTTCAATGTATTCTTATTATTTTGTTTATTTCCTTGTTAAAAAATCATCTTTGGATGTTGTCATAAAAATCAATGATTTATTTTTAATAATTTTATATTCATTATTTTTCAAATTATTATTATTATTATTATTATTATTATTATTATTATTATTATGTTAACATAATCCGATCAAACAGAATGAGAAAAAAAAGTATCTTTTAAATATTTTTTAATTTTTTTATTTTATTTGTATATCATTAAAAAAAAAAAAAAAAAAAAAAAATTGATACAGCAAAGTTGAAAATATTTCTCTGATGAATTAGATAAAGATAATTATAAGTATATTTTTTAAAATCAATTAATTCAATTCGAGAAAATTATTATTATTAGAGATTTTAAAAGAGCATCTAATAATAGATATGATTTGTTTGTAAAAAAAAAAATATAAATATAAACAAAATAATATAATATTCCAAATAAAAACCAAATGATGATACACTTGCTTTAATAAAAAAAAAAATATAATAATTCTTTTTAATTATAAAAAAATTAAAAGTAACCATAGAGGTAAACATATACTCCATCAAATATAACAGATATACACATGTACATATATACACGTTATATACATACGTAATAAAGAAATACAAAGTTATATATTTAAAAGAAAAGGAAAGTGAGAGAGAACAGTTTCGGATAAAGAAAGCTACTACAACGCACAACAGATGGGGGGATAAACTTTACTTTCTCTGTTCTCCCATACAAAATACGAAAGGAACATGCAGTCGTATGGATACAAGAGAAATAAAGAAAGAAATAAAAGAATGAAAGAATGAGTGAGACTAATAAGAGAGTAAGTATAAGGAGAAAATAAAAACGGATAATACCACTTTCCCTATTTGTGATGGTAATATTTCCCCCTATATTAGATACTGTGTGATTACCCTAATAGCACAAAATATTGAAAAATATTGAATACATGTGTATTTAATATTAAAAAGACATTAAATCTCTTTTTACGTATTAAATTTTTTTTTTTTATATATAAAATATAATTATATACAAAAAATTATTAATTATATATTAATTGAATTAATATTATATATAATATTAATTATATATAAATTATAAATATTTAATTATATATAAATAATTATTAAAAAAATTAAAATATAAATATTAAATTTTAATCAAAATTTTAATTTTCATTAAAATTAAAATATAAATATTTAATTATACATAAATAATTATTTTAATTATATATATTATTAATTAATATTAATATTATATATTTATAATATTATTTATTGAATGAATATATTTGACATGAATAATAATCATTCATTAAAAGATTGTATTACATTTTTTTTTAATATCTCGATCTTTAATTGTACTATTTATTTAATTTTTTGTATTTCTTCTCCGTTATGTTTTTTTGTTTTCTTGTTTTTTAAATCTTTATCTCTTTATTAATGAACATTTGCATAAAAGACTATATCATCGTGACTTTGCATATACTTACGTAAGATTTACGAAAGATACTTGGGAAGAAAAAAAAAAAAAAAGAAGATAAAACGAGATCTGACCTTTCATCTATTCAAACGTATCTAATAAACAGTACTCACACACATATTCCGGTTTTAAAAGTTACAACTATTTTTTTATCTCTCTCTCTCTTTTGATTCTTTTTTTACCCTTTTTACTTTCAATACCAAAGCAATAGTAACTTGATTGCCAACGATTATATCTTTTTTTTTTTATTGTATTTCTAATTTTAAATTGATTTTTTTTTTTTCAATAGATAATTGAGTGAGTCGTTTATCTTGATAATGACCTAAGTTAATTTTTTCTTTTTTCCGCGTAATATGTTTTTTATTTTTTATGACAGTTAACTTCCAGTTGTATATGTTATTACGGTCAACATATTTAACATGAATTTAGGCAACTTTCGAAATAAAACCAAGTCAACAGAACGAGTCATTTCGTATTTTTGTTTAATTAATTTTTAATTGTTAGATTAATTTGTAAATTATTTTCTCGTTATTCTTAAACATCTTATTCTTGTTTGGAAAAAAAAACAAAAAACATTCACGAATAAAAATCATTCTTTTTCTTTAGCTTATTTTTTTAGTCAGAAAGATAATATATGAATAAATATGTGTTATTTACATATAAAATGGTTCCATGCCTCCAATAAATTTTTTTTTTTTTTATTAATCCTACACCTATTGGTTTTTTCATAAACTGCATAATAATCTTTTATATATACAATATACATATTTCTTTTCGATATCTCGATATCACTATATAGATGAGGATTCAGTTAGTCTTCTGTTAACTTTTTTATGCAGTCAATGTTACATTTAACCGTTTTTCTTAACCCACTGAAATGGATAGTAAAAAGTGCATATTTGACATGTAATGCTTTAGGAATTGAAAAAAGGCAATAGCACTAAGGTGGCAATTGAAAAAATATGCAGCGTGTACAGTGCAGGACTGATAACTGATAGGGCAATCAGAAATTGCTTTGTAAAATTCCCTTCTGAAGATACGATCTTAAAAGATGAACCGTGTGCAGGACGTATTTCCGACTTTGATGAACCTTTTAAAGGTAACATTGGAGCAAAATCCAATAGATACGATCAACAATTGCAAAGAGTGCAAAAAAAACTCCATGAAAGGTGTCTTGCACTTATCAGTCGTAGAAACGCCATTCTTTGTTTCATAAAAAATGGAAGTTATTTATGACTCGACCTAATATATTAATATGTAATTATATTTATTAATGGTATTATATATTATAAATAATATAATCATATATTAACACATTCGCGACCGCTGACGTGAAATTAACGTCCTTTTAAATTTTATAAATTTAATATAAATAAATTTGTATAACATTTAAATAATTATATTTTATTATTTAAATGAAAATTTAAATAATTCATATTTTTTGACGGTACTCAGTATTAAAAAAGGAAAAAATATACCGGTCGCGAATGTGTTAATAGTAATATATTATATATATATTACTATATATAATACTATATATATATACAGTAAAAAGGGCATAACTGAACCAATAACCACTAGTTTTGTATAATTCTTTATTTATTGCTAAGAATGTAAATGAATATTAAAAATGAACATTATAGTAAGTTTTATTTCAGTTCGAAGTAACATCACTAATTTTTTTAATAATTAATCTCTCCCTCGTTTAGCACTTATAAACAAAATGGATTGACTCGGTTTTTCACCGGTCCGTAAAAGGAATGTTTACGTGGAATATTTCAGCAGTATTTTTATATCTAGCAGTTTGATATGTTTACAAAATATATTTTTACGTTATTAGCATTCAATTTCTCGCAATCAGTCGAACAGAAAAGTACCCAAATAAATTAAAGCAAATATGAAGGCAATTGTTTCAAATTGTTTAAAAAAAAATAATTTCCTTTTTAAATGACGGCTTATTAACACGTCAGACAGCGATAGAATTGAAATTATTTTTCTAATGTTGTGTTTTGTTTTTTAATTTTTTTTTTTTAAATTTACATAGTTTATTTTTTATCATTTTCAAAATGTAGGTTAGTGTTTTTATGTGTTTAAATTAATTGTAATATAAGAAAACCGCTTATTATTATTATTACAAGATATATCTGTAAGGTGACAGGTAATGAAATGTTTGTTTAAAAAACTCGTTACTCATTTAATTTTTTTATTCTTGATATTTATTTCACACACATGTGTTAATGTTTACCACGTTTATAAAGAAGCAAATCTTTCGTATTAATACCGTCGAATTTAATTATATATTTCTTTTTTTCTTTATTTTTTATCATTTTCTTTTCATCTCTTTCAGAGAAAAGATATCTTTATCTCAGTATTCATTATTATTTTCAATTGCTTTTAACACACATGACGTTGAGAAATAAATAGACAAAGTTTATTTCTCTTAGAAAAAAAATTACATATATAAATAATAAATAAAATTTATAATTAATGATTGAAGAAAATATTATAATAAAATTCAAATTAAAAACAATTCATTTAACTGATTAGAATAAAATTATTATTATTAATTTTTGTTATTTTTATTATTCTTTATTTTACAATTTTGAAGGGTTCATTCTCTTTGCAGTTGTTTAACAAATCTTAAAATCTATCTGCATCATTATATTATTTAATTAAACAATATGAAATAGAAATCACATTAATCCACACTAAAATAACATTCATATGAAAATAAAATGAGCATATTAATTTTTATTAATAATTAAATTGTACTTTTTAAACCTTCAAATTGAAAAATATTTTATATTTTTATACACTTCTTGTTTTTATTCATGAAAATGTAATTCGATTAATTTGATTATTTTTATTATTGCATTACTAATAATTTGAATTATTTTATTTTTTTTTTTTTTTTTACTATTTATGGTTCTGAATTTCTGCAGAATAAGAAAAGATTAATAATATTTACAATTTATTATCTATGAAATATATACGGAAATAATTATCGAAATTGAAGACTTACTTAGCATATTACGTATTTAGCATAGTTATTACTTATTCTTTTTTTTTTTTTTTTAAAAGTAACTAAGATAACGAAGCTAGTCGAAATTATAGATAATACTCTTATATGTATATTACTCGTTAATAAAAATGTAACCTCGTTTTTTGTAGAAATTATTTTCTTAATAATACTCTATTTAGAATAACAAAATGATAAAGAGAAAAAAAAAGTAATTATAGCTATTATCCAGACAAAGAATTTTTTTTTACGTAATAATTGAAAGAATGTATATAATGATCTACTAATAATTTAAAAATTCAATAATTTAATAATTGTTAAACTATTTCTTTATATTATGCAATCATCGCGTTTTTATTAGAACATTTTTTTTTTTAATTGAACAATAATTTTATAATTGTTAAGAAATTTAAGCTTGATAATTTAATAATTAATAAGCTTTAATAATAATATATTTAATAAGCTTCAATAATTGAATAATTGTTAAACTATTTCTTTTTTTTATTATACAATCATCGTTTTTATTATATAACATTTTTTTTTAATTGAACAATAATTTTATAATTGTTAAGAAATTTAAACTACTTTTTGTTGTTTATTTTTTAATTAGTATTTTTAAAAAACAATATTTATTCTTAAATTATGTCATATTGTTTGCAACAATATTACGAAAGTATGACTTTGCAAAACAAGTTTAAAACAAAAACGAATAATAAAAAAAAGTCATTGAAAGAACAGATCTAAATAGAACTAGAATCTAATCTCATTGTCAAATGTACAAATACATAATAATATGTAAACAAGATAATATTTCAAAATATTATTTTTTACCTTGATATCAATTTTATTAACTGTATCAATCAGATTCTAAAATTAATTATATTTGTGTGTGTGTGAACCAAATAAAAATTGTCAGCAATCTTTATAATTGATCATATAAATAATTATATCTATAAAATTATCTATAAATAAGTATAAAAATATACATATAAAAAAAATAATAACGGATGAGATAAAAGCATTACTTAATAAATGACCAATGGGTTCAAAATCCAATTCGTTTTCAACATAAATCGAATTCATCTGGTAGCACACAATCCAATCATAAAAAAAAATATTATATATATGAACGAGATGAAAATCATGTTCTTTTAATCGATCATATAAATAATTCATAAAAAAATACAAAATATATATACAGATTAGTAATAAAATGGGAATGATCATGAATTGAAATAAGTGATATATAATATAATTCTTAGAGACAATGATTAGAATAGAAAAACATCAAATAAACATAATAACACTATTAACGCAAATGTATTTGTAATAGAAGAAAACAAAGATGATCAACACAAGAACTTATAATATATACACTCAAACATTGAAAAGTATACATGTACATATACACAAGTATAAACAATTTTAATATGCATATAGAAACGATAAAAGAGAAGATATTATATTATAATAATATATAATAAATGATTCAAATTCAGTTCGTTCTGAGAGTAGATAAAATTTATTGTTAGAGGGCTTACAAATACACGTGTCTACGTAGATAAGTGTATGTATCTAAACAAGAAAGTGTATGAGTGAAGAGGGACTTGAGCGGTAAGAGGGTCCTCTTTGGAGAGGAGGAAGAGGGAAGAGTGGCAAGAAGCAAGAAAGAGAAAGAAAAAGCAAGCAAGTAAATAAGTAAGAGAGAGAAGGGGGAAGAGAGAGAGAAAGAGTAAGAGAACAGGGAACAGGCTAGTAGAGTTCACTCAGCTAAGCCAGTCGTCAGCTGGTTGCCGATCTATGTGGATCTCGTACAACTATTTTGCTTTTTCTGAGAAGTGCTGTGTTCAATTTTAAAAAACATATAAAAATTATTTGTAATCATTGATAATTAGTTATATCGGTGATTAGACAAATACTACGACCTAATCGTTCTATCAAAAAGGTGTTGGATACGGACAAAGAATCAAAAGAGAGAATAAGAGACACAAAGAGAGAAGAAAGAGAGAGAAAGAGAGTACTTGAAGTTGAGACAATACTAATAGTTAGCAACGCATACAAAGAAGAGAAGGAACGCGCAAAAACAGCACGCGCGCACGCGCAATGAATTACTCTGTTGATTATAGTAGTCACGGTTGTTTTTAAAAACACTTGCTATTTATATATTTATATACATATACATATATATATATATATTTATATACCTATGTTTATGCATGTATAAATATATAAATTTTAGACAAAGATCCAAATGAAGTTTACCTATTTTTATTTTTTTTACAATAAATAGACAGAAAAAGAGAGAGACGGAGAGAGAGAGAGAGAGAGAGAGAGAGAGAGAGAAAATAGTTAGGATCAGACAAAAGTGTGAGTGCAAGATTGGATTGATAAATAGATAAAATAGATTTATAGGTAAAGTTCAGTATGTCGATATTTTCAAAATTAATCGATAAAACGTCTGTCAAATACGGCATTCGTCAGGAACATCTGACTCATAGTATAGCCGGTGTCGTCACCGTTCTTTATTTCCTCAAAATTGGTTATCCTTTTCTACTTGATAAAGTTCGTCAGCGCCACCGGCCGGCGAGTGAACTAAAGAAAGACGAGGATGAAAGATCTAGGAACGATTCGAAAAAACGCGGGAAAGATCGGAAACATTCGAGAGATCAAAATTGTAATAAAAATCATCGGGATGATGATGATGATAATATCGAATCCAACAAAGAAAAAGAAGATAATAAAGAAACAGAAAAGGAGAAAAATGATAAGAATAATAAAAAGATGAAAGAAAAAATCATTGGTTTGGATCGTGCATTTCTAAAACATTTGATAACCTTGTTAAGGATCATGGTGCCAAGTTGGAGATCGAAAGAATCTGGTCTTTTAGCTTGTGCTACTCTCACATTACTAGCTCGTACTTTTCTCTCCGTTTATGTAGCTACTCTTGAAGGACAGATTGTCAAGAGAATCGTTTTGAAGGACATTCGTGGTTTCTTTTTTATGATGGCAAGATGGTTCGCCATTGCATTCCCAGCTACATTTGTAAATTCGGCTATTAGATACTTGGAGGGTCGTTTGGCTCTTAATTTTCGGTAAGTTCTAATATTGATATATATAAATATATATATATATTTATTAATAATAACAACAAAAATTGTAATAGTATTCATTTTATCGTCATTATGATTGAATCGATAGTCATCAAATTTCGTTCAATTATTAGAATCATCGAGATATGAAATACGTATTTTTGTTGTCATTATTTACACAAAGAATTGTTGTAATTTTAAATAATATACAACATACTTCTTTCTTTTTCTTTTTTGTCTATTTTACGTAAAAAAAATTAACTTATTAAATTCAATTTTTTGTTTAAATATACTATAATATATCAGAAACGAAATATGCATGGTAATACCAGATTAATCGTTGAAATATTTCTATATTAATGGTCAGCCCATTAAAGTAATTTTAAAAAATATTAATGCTAGTCATACTTTGCCTTTTTTCTTACGCATTTTAAAGTAGGTTTTGTTCGTCATTATTTGTTATCGAATGAACGTAAATATACGATGGTCATTGACCGCATCGAAACTCGTCGCGAAAAAGAATTGAATAAAAGGTTTGAACAAATTCATGTATCATCTGGAGATATTGAAAGAGTAAGAAGACAGTCATTGGTAAGACATCTACAGACTTCTATTCAGATGTTAAGAAGTCATCACAAAGAACTTTTATGAAAGCAAGCGGATAGGATTTCGTAGAAATTCTAATATTCGTTTATATAACTCGAATACAATATCAAAACTTGGATATACGTATGAACGAATTTTTTTGTTTAATTATTTAATTGCGTTAAAATTACTTGTTAAAATATTTCTAAATTATTCTGGAACATATTGTACATTTACAATGAAATAAAATGAATTTTTTTATTAGACCCCACTTTCATGATTATCGATTCATTTAAAAATATTTGATGTTAAATTGATTTGTGTGATTATTTGTATATTCTTATTTAAATTTTAATTTGAATATAGGGAAAGATTGGTTGAACATGCTTACAAAATGTACCTGAGTCAACAAACCTACTATAGAGTAACAGCTCTGGACACAAGACTAGGTGGACTTGAACAAAGACTGACTGATGATTTATCCGAATTAGCAAGCTCCATTGCTCATTTATATTCGAGTTTAACGAAGCCTTTGTTAGATTGCGCTTTAGTGGGAGTCGCACTTATATCATTTTCGATGAATATGGGAGCAAGGACTATACCTGGTAAGATTACCATCAAATCGTTACGAAAGAATATTGTAAAACATATTTTTTTCCTGAAATCGTGAAAAAAAAAAATATATATATATATATTAAGTATGCCAGCATTAATAAAAGTGTGAGTTATGAGTTGTAGACCCCATATAAGGTCACAGAAAGTAAACCAAAAGCCAATAATTTTATAAAAAGTTAATTATAAACCAGTCTAGCAATATTAAACGTATAGTTTGTCCATGAGTTTATGATAATGTAGAGTTAATATTCAAGATTGTAAAAATATTTGTTCGGTTAAAGGGGGTTGCCAAGAGGAAAAATTTGAGTAGCTCTGAATTATACCGTACTAATATATTTTACAGTATATATATATTATTTTATATAGAATTAATTATGTAGGCAAAATAAAATTGGGAGAAAATATCGTTAAATTAATATAGTAAATTTTTGTATTTTTATTCAATACTTTAGGGCCGTTGTTAGCATTGGTAGTAATCACCTTGACCGGACAAGTGTTGCGTCTTGCCTCCCCTCGTTTCGGTCAGTTAGTAGCAGAGGAGGCTACTAGACGTGGTCGTTTGCGAGAAGCTCATGCACGTATTAGTGCTCATGCCGAAGAAATTGCTTTCTATGGAGGTCACCAAACCGAACACCGTTATCTTACTACCGCATATAAGTCTCTCGTAAATCACTTGAGAAGAATCTTAGCTAAGAAGTTGTGGTACGTTATGTTGGAACAATTTCTTATGAAATACCTTTGGTCAGGAACCGGACTACTCCTGATCGCGTTACCACTTCTCTACAATTCCGGTAGCTTGTCACAAAAAAGCGGAATCAAAGATAACGAAGATGGTACATGATTTTTCATTTATTTATAAGAAAATGAAATTATTTAATAATTATTGTTTTAATAATTATTAGGTGCTGTGAGTGAGAGAACTAGATATCTGACAACATCGAAAAATTTGTTATTGTCTGGCGCGGATGCCGTGGAAAGGCTTATGGTTTCTTATAAAGTATATCATTAATGTTGCTTTAATGTTAAACAAGATTTTATAATTTTTGATTGATCTTTGGATTTTATTTATTTGTTAATTTGATATTTTTAGGAATTAATTGCCTTGGCCGGTTATGCGGAACGTGTTAATCAAATGTTTGAAGTATTTAAAGACGCTGCACTTTGCAAGTATCAAAGGAACGTACTTGTTAATGGTTCGATAAGAACGAACAATGGAACTACTTCACATTCCGATCGAATGACTATCGAATTTAAGGATGGTCATCCCGTTATAAAAGGTACATAAATATAATTTTATGTTTATAGTAATTAATTATAGACCCATAACATAAATAAATTTATTCATAGGAATCGTCAGAGAAAGTAAAGATGGTAGTATAAGTCTGATAAATGTACCAATAGTAACGCCTAACTGTGAAATCATAGTCTCCAGTTTAACAATGACAGTAAGTAAAAAAACAAACAATAATTCAATTAATCATTATAAAAGTGGTCTAATTGTAAGTCACTTGAATTATTTAAAAAACACGAAGTGCAGTATGTATAGTATGATGTTGATTTTGTTGATTTAATCAGCGTAATCGGAGAGACAAATGATGTGAATATATGAGTTCTCTAGTACTATAAAAGCCTTCTTAATTGAAACATTTGTTAACGACTAGAAGACAACGTATAATCGAAACTCCCAATATAATTAAAACTTTGGTTAATCGAAATCTTACTATATAACATAAAAACATTTGTGCAGTATGAGGATTGTCCAAATTGAATATCACCCTATCTGAAAAGGGTGTTATAAGATTGTTGAGTGAATATAATTAACAAGGGAACACTTCAGTTGACAGGATACTGAATTTTTTTTTAATTCTACACAGTTGTTGGTGTCCACCAGAATTATACACGGTCCAAGTAATAAGACTATAACTTAATTCTTTCCAAGAAAGCGTAAAATTATCTTACTTATAAACTTGAGCCTTCCCTTGTAAGACCACATTTATAATCATTGATATAAAATTAATTATAATTTAAGAATATTATTGATAATGAGTAATAATTACAGATACGACCGGGTGATCATCTATTGATAACGGGACCTAACGGTTGTGGAAAAAGTTCGCTATTCCGAATAATTTCTGGTCTATGGCCAATTTATGGTGGTACATTGATTAGACCAGCCGAAAGTTATTCGGTTAGAAGCGGAAGGCCTTCCTTATTTTATATACCACAGAAACCTTATATGACGGTAGGCTGTTTAAGAGATCAGATTATATATCCTGCCGAATCGGAAACAGAAGATTGTTCGGACGAGGAACTTTTAAAATTATTAGATGAAGTTGATTTGAAAGGTTTGGTTGAAAGAGAACCTGATGGATTAAATGCCTTCGGTGATTGGGATTCGACATTGTCGGGTGGTGAAAAACAAAGACTTGCTATAACTAGATTATTTTATCATGCCCCACAATATGCATTGTTAGATGAATGTACTAGTGCTGTTAGTATCGAAGCAGAAGGTGTTATGTATGAGACTGCTAAAAAACGTGGAATCACATTGTTAACTATCACCCATCGGCTATCCTCTTTAGCTAAGTATCATAAATTAGTATTACGATTCGATGGAGAAGGTGGATGGACGTTTGGACCATTGAACGAGGACAACCTTAATTTATTAAATCCTAATCTTAATCAGAACAAACAAAATGATAATCAATTGAACGATAATATCAAGGGCAGCCATTATCAAATGTTTCACGTTCGTATTATATTTTATTTTTTCTTTTGTTCTTATACAAGATGAAGAGGGTCATAAATTTGTTCTATAATTGTTATTTTAAAAAACTATTTTCATATTTATCTTCGGTTCATTTTAATTTTGAGTATTAGAAAAATTCAAAATCATAATGCAAGAGAGTTTTAAAAATGAGTAATTGATTTTTAATTTTAATTACTCAAGAATTTTTGACTCATGCTCTGTATATTTCATTACTTTTTTTTATTTATGCAATTATCATTAGTATAATATTTTGATTTGTTCTTTTTATTTTTATATAGGAACTTCACGAAACGCATACAGAGGACACTTACGTTGGAATAAGCTGAAAACGTTATTAATTAAACAACAAATAGTTTTAGGAAAAATTCATATATTTTCTTATACCTAATATATATATATATATATTAGATTGTGCATATTGTACAAAAATTAATATATAATACTTAATATTTTTGTATAACGTATAATTCATCTGATTTCCATAGTACATTTCAAGAAATATCTGTAGAATATCTGTTATCTAGTTAATTACAATATTCGTGTATGTTATTTGGCGGTTCGATATTATTATTATATATATATATATATATATATATATATATATATATATATATATATATATATATATATATATAAATCTACATATGTTGTTAGATAATAAAATAAAAAAAATCTGTTTGCTATGTCGAAGTGCCTTTATCCCAAAGACGCTTATGTACGAGACTTTATGCTAATTCTATTGTTTGTATTAGATACTTGATTATTTATTTCGAATAAAAATAATTGCTTATACACAATGAGTAATAATTTTATCTTTGTTGTAATTAAAAGATAATTAATATGAATTATCAAATATGATAATTGTCACTAATGAGTGACGTTGAATATAATAACTTCGATAAAAAGTTTTAATTTAAATTAAATGAACAAAAAATTAATTAAAAATAAACATAATGAAGTATTGGTTAAAGGATAGAAATAAACAATTGAAATTGATCATGTTCAGCACTAATGCAACAGCAATTACAAAAGTCAAACAAAATATCTTTGAAATATAATAGAAATTATTTTTCTACATATGTCGAAAGAAAAATCAAATAAGTTAACACACTTTCGTACAATACAAATCCCAAACGATTGCATAACAAAGCTTCTAATTTAAATTGGTAAAATCTATGCGCAAACAAATTTAAATAGAAAGAAAAACAAAATAATAATTGCAATAAAGTATGAACAAAATCGATCGATCAAACTTTGATGCAAAACAATCTGAAGAAATTGTCGAGATAAAAAAATGTCAAGTAGAAGATGAAAATAGTAAAAGAAAAAAAATTAAAGATAGAAATAGAAGAAGAAGGAGGAGGAGGAAGAAGGAAAGCAAAGAGAGAGAGAGAGAGAGAGAGAGAAACAGAGAGAAAGAGGAGAAAGAGAAAGATGGACTATTAATTTGTAGAAGAGAAAAAAATTTAATTACACTCGCGCTTCTTTGTTTTGAAGGGCCTGAAAAAGAGGCAGGGTTGATTCCAAGGGAGGGAAGACTTACAATTTCCGATGAGCTTACCTCTGAGAAACCCTCTAAACGCCAAACGTCGATACGCCCGGCAGCAGCCATCTTGGGAGGGATTGTATGCCTCTCTTCGTTGTCGGAACTAATGCTCTAAAGCAATTCCGGGTCGTTATTAGTATCGATGAGAGAAATGAATACCATCATCTTACTAACTTCGTCAACAATAGATTTTTTATTATTTCTACAACCCCCTCCCCCCATTTACCCTCTTTATCTGACAATCCCTGATTAATTCTAATCATTAATTTTCAATAAAAATTAGAACGAGGAAATGTAAAATTGTGAATAATATGCAAGAACTCAATGTTTGACTATTTTTTTTATTCTTGTTTTATTTTTATATTCTTTGTTATTGTTAAAATCTTCACCGTTTCAACCTCATCATCATCATCATCATCATCATCATCATCATCATCATCATCATCCCTCTAACCCCATTTCCATTGATTCTGATCATATTTCTCGTTGTAGAGTAAAATGACAAAAATTACAAATCGGTGAGTGGACACAAGAATTTGATATATGTACGTGACATTCATTCGTCTATTTGTTCAAAATATGTTACTTTTTTTTCCCTCTTCTTTTATTTTTTTTTTCTCTTATGGTTTCTGCAATTTTACAATATATATATCTATAAGGTTTCCTAAAATATTCAATGTTATTTAATTTTCAAGCAAATAAAATGAAGCAATGTAAAAAATTGTATCAAATAAAAATTTCAAAATGTCAAAAAAGAAAAAACGACAAATGAAAATCGAACGATTCGAATAAAAAAAGTTCATGTAAATAATAAAAACGATTCGGAAGAAAGAGTGACAATTAGTTGACGTTAGAGGGTTAACGTTAAAGATAGATCAAGTTACTCGCGTATTTTTAAAAGACGAAAGAAAGAGAGGGATGGAAAGGAAGAGAAACGAAGGAGAGGAACGAGGATAAGCAAGAACGTATGAAGAATAATAATAAGAAGAAAAAAAAAAGAAAGGAACAAGGATGAGACGTATATAAAAACCCATCTGCCTATGGGACTATAGTCGTCCGGCTAAGAAAATAAAGTGATGGTATTAAACGAAAAAAGGGGGATGATTAGCAACGGAGTTCGGTAAACTGAAATGTCCTGTTTTTCGTAGTTCCTTGTGTGAATTAAGCCTTTTCGAGTGGCTGATATGCCACTTCGACACACCTCCTTCACCCTACCATCCCCTCTGTTATCCCTTGTAACCATCCTCCTTCTCCTTCAACCCCCTCTTATATCCCAGAGCTCAGTTTTAAACGAGAAGTCTCATCTTCTTTGAGCCGACAAAATAGCCGATTGAATTACACACGAGGACGAACGGCGCGTGCCAGCCGGCTTGACAACAACCATTACAACGTTCTTATAATATATCTAACGTTAATATGAAAAAGAGACAGAGAAAAAGAGAGAGAAAGATAAATATATATATATGTATGTTTAAGAGGAATAATAAATATAATAAAAATTGATTTGTGAATTTAATTACTGCAATTTGATTATTTGCTTTCTGTTAAGTGTATGTGAAGAATGATAAATATAATGAAAATTGATTGGAATTTAATTATTAATGGCTAAATCTTTTGTTTTGTTAAAAAAAAATATATATATAAATTATATTTACAATAATATAAAAGAAAATTTAGTATAGTTTTAAATTTATTGGTATAATTATTGTTGTTGTGTTAAACGATGTTTGAGTATTATATATAGTATCATAATATATGAAATATTATAATTAAATATATAAATAGTATAATGATATCTTCTTTAACCGAATACTTTCTTGCGTTCAAACAAATATAATATAATCTCAAATTTACATTATTTATTAGAAAACTGAAATCACACACACACACAAATTTAAAATATGCAAACAGACGAAATTTTTCTTTTATTGTTAGCCTAATTAATCAAAAGACTAAAAGAATATCGTTAAAAGAGAACGTAAACATATTTTTATTGATTCTATCTCGGTTAGATATGAGCTCACTTATCCCCAAAACAGGAGAAGAAGAAGGAGGTGAAATACGTAAGCAAACGGATGACATATATCATCATATTGCACAAGTAATTTAGAACATATACATATGTCCTTATATGTATATCTTGAAGTTATAGTAGTAATAGTAAGAATATTATGATAGTATTCAGAAAGTGGTTATCAAAATCATTACACAAATAATTAAATACATATATACGTAATTATATATTATGTATTAGTATTTTTACTGTGATAATGTTTAAAAGACGATCATAATCATTACACAAGTTATTAAATATATACATATGAAATCATATATATATATATATATATATAGTTGTAATTGTAGTAATAGTAATAACAATAGTAGTGTGGTAGTATTGTAGTAGTGTTCAGAAGACAATAATCATCATCATCTCTGAGGAATAGTCTATCGTGCTAAACTGGGATTATCCTAGGAAGGATGTTACTGAGAACAAAGTTACTGTCATCTCATCTCACTATCTAATCACTCAATACGCGTCACAAATAAAAGACCTGGCGAATCAAATCTCTTTCATGGATCATGATTTTAGATCTGATCATCTTCTTGTCATTAATCGTTCATCCCTAAGGAGTTCTAAGATATTGTCCGGGTTATTTTCACGTAGAAAATGAACACCAAGAAAAAAATAAAAGAAGAATTATTGTGGTCAATTTTAAATGTATGCTTATCCTACATATCACATGATCAACACATCATACAAATACATATATACATACACGTGTGATTAATCAAGCAAGGTTGATCGTATTTGTGGTTTTGAACAGTAGTACCGGTATTAATTGAATCGTTTTTTTTTTTTTCATTTCAGGTGCGAGCAAACACAGGTGCAAACAACAAAAATAAATTCGCGAAAGATTCAACGAGGGTTGCGAACGATTTTGGACCAGTGAAAGGAGCCCGTTCGATTGATCATTGTGGTTTTACTACGGGGGAAAATCTTCCTCTCTTTACCCCTCATACGACCATATCGCCTCACCCCCAAACCATCTTTATATTCTTTATGGTAGAACGTTTACGTTAGATTGTAACATAGAATAGACCTTGCCATGCGAAAGCTTAGAACTTTGATCGAAATGCTAACAACGTTCGTGTGTCAGTAATCTTGCTACTTTATCTGTTTGTGTGTGGGTGGGTGCGTGTAGAATTTTATTAAAGATAGTTCAAAGATTTTTGTAAACTTTGAATTGTTTAATCAAATCTTACAAATTATTGTAACGAAAAAATTGTAATGTTTTAAATGTTAGATGATTTATGATTAAGCGTGAAAGTAATCTGACTTTTAAAAATAAATATGAACAATTTTAAAATATATAATTTAATTAATTAAACCAAATTTACTCAATGTAYTTATGTTATTAACGTTTTAATATAATAATATCTGAATCTTTATCGTACCATAAAATAGAACGAATTATTCTCAACAACCCTTATACAAATTTATTTTGTTTAGAATAATTTTTCAAAATCCTATATTTATAACACAAATAAAAATGTTAAAGAATCCTAACAACTAAGTGACAACTGAGATCTGACATACCATAGCAAATTGGGTACGCTCATGTTAGACCTTCGATAAAATTCCCAGTAACTATTCCACGAAATTGCAAATGAAAGAGGAAGTAGAGAAAAAGAGTGAGAAGAAAAAATAGAGAGAAAGAGAGAGAGAGAGTGAGATGCACAAATTTTGAACGTAGTCCTGTGTAAATACCATGGGCCCAATCGGTTGGAAATGTAAGCCAATACCCAGGGTGTACACTCGGCGTGGTGCAGGAGTCTCTTTTTCTCTCTCTTTCTTTCTCTGTCTCTCCCCTATCTCATCAGCCCTCTCTGGCACCTCGAAACACGAATATCGAGAGAAAGATCGACGAACTCGATCTTTGGGTTTGTGCTATCTATCGACGACACACGGTCAACGTATAACCAATATAATGAAGGTGAGATGCACGCCGTGTGGTCGACTTCCTCTTCCTGTATATCCACATCGGAACTACGTCCAGTCAGGTGTCCGATCCGGCGACACACATAAACTTACATTTACATATATTGCATGTAGATGTTCACTGTTACAATACTCGTACGATTAATGTCGGACATTTGATATTTTTTACTAGGCTCGTTGACATCAAAGCTTTGTCTCTTGTTCTCTATCTGTCTCTCTCTTTCTCTTTTTTCTAACATTTGAATTTTAACGCGAAACAATCGATTAACTTTTTAAGTATATTACCATTAAGGGGTTGCACACTTTTATGATACAATTTTTATATATGTACAATTTGTGTATGCACGAATTAAGATAATACAATTAATGTGTTCAATGCTTTTATTTCTAAACTATATCGTAATACAATCTAATTTCTATCTGCACCGTTTGTCTATTTATAATTACATAACCAGTTCGTTACGAGTACCGTCTACTTAAAATTTTTAAAATATAATTTTTGAACAACCTGAAATAAATGTTAACAATAAACCAAATTGAAACACTAATAAATATTATCAATTTCGATTCTCAGTTGTTAGCCTAAGATAGACTAGGATATTTTTAATTCCGAATTCTCTTAAAATTGTTAATCCTGTATGGTTTATTACCTTGTTCATATTAACGTTGTTAAAAAGTGACTTTCCATTTATCAAGAATTGAAATTTTTGTAAGCTTCTTTTAAATGGTAAAAAATACAATTTTATGAAAATAATTAAGGTTCTGAATTAAGAAGACCTTTAAAAGCATCATTATATTAAAGTCAGCAGGTTCTGTGAGTGTCCTTAGATTAATACAATTCATTTCGTAAAAGATTATTTATTTCATATGTGATAAAAATTGCACTGTTTTATTATCCTACGATTAAAAATACAAAACATGTCATTTGCATTGTTTATTAATATCCATTCTTTAATGTTTAAATCTAATCTGAAAAAAATTCAATGAAAAATGTAGTTAACGAGTATACAATTAAAATAAGATACCTATTACGTCAATGTAAACCATGTACAAATGTCTCCGAATAAACTGACCACATACTTTCTTCAATTTTAAAGTTTAAGGGTTGTTAACAAGATAGAAGATTGTTTACTGGGAAGATCGTTGGTTGGTCGTTGATAGGCTCACCTAAAGTGTTCTTCAGCTGGTGAATAATCCACGAAAGGGAAGGCATTACGAGCCAGTGATCTGAGGGTACTCGTCCGTGAGGACCCAGAAGGACCACCGTGATCGGCGTGGTAATGGTATCTCAAGAAAATATAATATCCCTTGGCCTTGTTTCCCCGCTCGAACCCAAACACAAGCTAAAGGTGAACATACGTGTTCATATGTTCGCATGCATATACATGTCTATATATATATTGATGCTAATGAAAGAGAAAGAGAGATAGATAGATAAAAGGATGTATGGGGGTTGGTGGAGAAGGGTACCGATCGCCGAATGAACGATTAGTATCCCGTATCGTCGGCACCGAGATATCCTGGAACGCAACTATCCAGCCGACGGCGGCCTGTTCACTCTTTCCTTCACTCGTTCCTTCCTTCATTCGTTCATAAGTTCGTTCATTCGTTCGTGCGCCATCGATGACATCGAGAACAGCTCATCGTTGTCGGACCAACCATACGACGGTGTAGAGAAAGAATTTGATGCCAATGTCGATACCTTTTCTTCAACACTGACGAGATCAAACTACCAACACTTTGGATCTCTCATGCCGATGTACCATTTTTTTCTTAACACCTTATGTATCATTATCTGTTGAATAACAAGGTTTTTCAATTTCATCAATGATCATTCGATGTATATTGATCTTCTTTTATTTTCTTTAATTTTCAAATATTCATTTATTAAATAAGAATCGTTTGTTTGTTCTTTTATTTATTTAATTTAGTCTTAATTATTATTATTATTATTTATTTAAATTGATTTTGAATATTCTTAAAAGCTTATCATACGCTTACTATAAGATGAAAGAATAATAAGGGATGAAATTAAACCGATACAAAATCTTTCAGTTAGAGTTTAAACAATGATGACTATAAAGCAGTTAATACTGGATAAGAAAATAAACAGGAAGGAATGCACGAAATCTTGCAATTATAGAAAATAATTGATAAGCTCTGATCGATGATAAAATAAAACAATCCCTAAAAAATATTACATTTGTGATCAGAAAAGGGGAAGATGTAATAAATTAAGACATTTTTAACGATAAACTAACAAATCATTCGATAATTAATATTTAAGGACGATATAAGGGTACGTACTGGTCAGAGACATGGAGAAAGAAGAAGAAGAAAGGGAAAGGTAAAAAAAATGAAGAAAAAAAAGAGAGAAAAAGCAATAGGATGGAGGGAGAAGGCGGGAAGGAAGAGCTGCGTTCGTTGTTGAGGGCGTGACAGAGAAAAGCAGAGAGAGAGAGAGAGAGAGAAAGAGAGAAGGAACTAGATAGAGAGAAAGAAAGACGAAGAGGAGATCAGGGTTCGTAGTGGAGTGGGATCAGATGGTACGTAGTCAGTGAGTAGGTAAGGGGTGAGAGTGGGTGGTGGATCCCTAGTTAGCCATGACACATTGGCAAGCCATCGTGCCAGCATGGCAGTAGCCGACGTTAGTATTCGCAAGGACTTTGATGCGATATCGTCTTTTCTTTTAAAACAACTTTTACCCAACTTAAAACAAACCCCCTATCTTCAAGCTAATACACAGTGATCCACAGTTACAACTAAAAAGTCTGATTCCTGAATATTAAAACAAGTGCTCGATTAAAACTATAACTGTGTATGTAACTAAACATTACTGAGGTATCTGCTGATTTATTATTGTATAAGAGCTTTATCAATGTGAACAAAACCAACTTGGAGGAAAAAGGATTCTGTTTAAAGTGTCCAGTTTTTTTTGGTGGATCGTAGATTCATTGGTGTACCAATCTTGATCAGTTCATCCCTTTACTAATGAGAATGTTTAAGGATTAATGTGATTTCATATACAAATAAAAGTGATAACTTTGTGGTATTAAGAGAATTAGAAGATCTACAATGAGTATATGTGGATGATCTGGTGAACTTTTAACAAAAATCATTTCAATTTAACACCCAAACCTATAGAAATATGAATATGGAGTTTGGCAGGATCTTGTGTAGATATAATTAACGAAGAATTGTTTTAAATGTAACGGCAAAATTTAATTTGGTGTCCTTATACAGCGAATTTAAACCGTTAGAAGTACGGAGTGTTCTGTTCTTGTTACCTGATGTATGTCGAGTCTGTCTTGTTGCCTGTCAAGTGGATTAACAAAATGAAAGGATTAAAATTTGAACAAAAGTGTTAGTTGAAGAACGTGTAAAAGTGTTTGAATTGATAATTATTTATCATGAGGATGAAAGAAAACTTAAACAGTTCAAATTTCATATGGAAAATGTTGACCGTACGATGCAAATGGAAGAAACCAGGGAATTCTTACTTCTTGCCATAATCATCAAATCGAATGCCAGATGTTTTAGATCGATACAATTGTGCATCGATCGATCGATTAAGAGAATATGATTTTAAAGGAGAGAGACACACTTTATCTATTTTATCCTGGTTCGAGTATGTGTCACGTGGGAGAAGATGCACATGGTTCTAAATCTATGAATGAAAATATTTCGTAGGTTTCCTGTAGAAGCCCTTAGAGGAGACCGGCAGGTCTTCCAAGCCATAAAGGTACCTTCATACTTCTCTCTCTTTCTCTCTCTTTCTATCGGCCCATATATACACGTGCACTTTATACTTTCAGTCATTCATAAAAAAAATATATTTCCCGATCCGATTTGCCTATATTTGCCAATCATCGTTAAGTTATTACTTATCGTTCATCAATAAGATCAAATTCTACTCGTTGCTACCATCCACCTTTCAATTCGTTTCTCAAGAATATCATAAGCCTACTGATTGCATATAAATTCAAAAAGTGCAATCAAATATTTATATATCTGAATGTATATAGTAGATATAGAGCTTGATTGATAAAATTATAAATTTGTTTCAAATAAATGCGAATTGTGTTCGGGGTTTTTTTTTTTTAAATCGTTACAAAAATGGGGGATGAAAAAAAAATGTATCGGTACTTTTTTGTTAATCGATATAAGGGGGGGGGGAAAGAAGGAAACAAAAATGGTGTTTACGATGAAATAAATATAATTGGAAATATTAAACAGTAGAAATTGGCTGCGCTGACGGAGCTATGCGTGGTTGCCAAGGTTACCGGAGGGGCTGGACCAGATCTTTCTAGAGAGAGAGAAAGGAGCATTGGCGCTATCGAGGATTTTGAGGAGGGGCGGGCTACGGGGGGGTCGCTTCTAGGGGAGCTTGCAACCAGAAATTTTACAGAGATGGAGTTTCTGCAGAATCATCACACGGTGAACACCTCCGAGTCGCCGTATACTCTCGGCACAGGTGAGAGAACAAAAAAAAATAAAACAAAAAAAAAGGAAGAGATAAAACTAATCTTTGTTGAATTAAAAATAATGGTCAAAATTTGTTGATTCGTCAAATAATAAATCGATCGTCAAATTTTTTTTATTATCCAATTGCCGTAAAAATGGTGTCGGGATCGAGCATATCTTCCCGCGCGAATTTATGGTATTTCTTTCATTACGAGTCCGCAATTAAAAAAGTGAAAGAAAAGAATAAATGAATAAATTGGATAATACGTGGTAGTGTACTTAATTCATCGTCATCATTCATCGTTATCGTCGTCGTCGTCGTCGTCGTCGTCGTCGTTGTCGTCGTCATCATCATCATCTTCATCAGTAAATGTTCAAGGATTTCATATTTGTAATTTCATATTTTTATTATCCTTCTTTTATTTATATGAATGTGATCTGTTTTAATGATTCAAAATGAATTAATCCTTCTCATAAATACTAATTAGATAATCTACAAAATATCCTATAAATTCATCAAATAAACTAATTCATTAGCTGACTAAATTTGGTACGAATCTAACGCGAAGCTAACAAAAAAAATTATTAAAAGAAAAAAAAATGTTGAAATGACGTATTTATTAATATATACATATATATATAATAAGTAGTTACATATATGTACATATGATAATAAAAATTCATAGGATCGGTGGGTACAATCGAGGCGACCATACCATCCGCACTTTGCACCGGTTCATTGGGTGTTCTTTCGAACGAAGATACCTTGACCGACAATCAAAATGAAGAAACTTTAAGTGCTTTGCAAGGTACATTACGTTTGCAAGATTTGCAAGCTTCTACGGACGATATTACGGGAAGTGGTGATCAAACTCAACAACAAATTACAAATTCAGGCCAAAGCCAAGTGGTTGGTAGTGAATTTGGTAGTGGGTTTTGGGTCGACGATATGGCAGGTTTTCCACCATTGGATTTAGATCCTTTGCCTGGTTTGTTCAGTCCTTGTTCTGGGACTTACAAGTGAGTACTTTCGTTTATTTTTCTTTTTATGTATGTGTATACACTTGTATGTGTTTTTCTTTTTTTTTTTTTTTTCATTTTAAGTCGGATGCTTGCAAATAAGGGTGGCTTTTGCATAGAACAGATATTTTATTATTATTATTGTTATCAATAATAAAATTACGTCAAATAAAAATTTGAATATTTTAATTACCGATCAAAATCTATTTGTTCATAATTATTTTAATAATAATAATAATAATAATAATAATAATAATAATAATAATAATAATAATAATAATAATAATAATAATGACGGAATGAAATAGATAAATAATTTTGTATTTATCTGTACAATCATCACAAATCACAAAAATCATCCGTTAACGCAAACAATTTTTACCTTTTATCCTTTTGTTCCTTGAAGGTCCCCGAATAAGAATCCAGAAAAAAAAAGAAAATGAAAAAGGAAAAGGAAACAAGTGAGAAAAGAAAACATACGTTTAGGTCGCGTCTGATTTGTATCATACTTCATCTACTTTCTACTCTCAAATACAAGGATTACTGTTATCCTTTACGATAAAAGATATGAGTATAGTTCTTTCAATAGAATTTTAATGATTCATTTTATTTCTTTAAATCGTCATGTATATTCGTTATTTTTTATTATTAAATAATCAAAAATAAAGAGAGATAGAGATAACGAAATGTTTCTCTCGCAAACTTTCGTTCGTATATTTGTATTATCTTAATTATGAATTTGTTTTGTATTTTTGAAATTTTTCTTCAATATTTCTACCTTTCCTTCTTTCTTTCTTTATTTTCTTACAAAAATTATTCTCTCGAAACACAGTTTTATTTCGTATAATATTTTCATAACAATAATAATAATAATAATTATATTATTATTATTATAAGGAAAAAAAAGAAATTTCAACATAATATATTTATATTTTTACTTATATATAAAAAATAGAAATAAAAATTAAATGAGATAATAGAAGAAGAAAAAAATGCAATCGTTAACGTAAAGGTTTGTCCCTCGCACGACGTACCTTTATAATTTTAAAAGCGTTTTTACAGTTGGGGATGTCCAAGAGGTGATTGCGTACCAAGGACGAACAACGGGAACGGCGAGGGTGTCGCGGACGTATTGTTATCCTTGAAACATGCCGTGGTACATCCTGGAAGTCCTACAGGAGGGTATTATTCTTCAACGGGAGGCCCTAATACCCATCACTATACCCAAGATTACACCCAAAACTTAGGCCCACCCGTAGGCCCGCCAACGCATTACACTTCGGCACCCGCAATGTCTGTCAACGTTTCCATGAATATGACGATGAACATGAACTTGCATCATGGGTAAGTTTCTTTTATTAACGTTTCAAATGTATATTATTTCGAGTCTTTTATTTTGTATTCTCTTCTCTCTCATAGTGTTTGATTTTTATAAAGGATTGAAAACAAAAATGAAATAAGGGATGCAGATAAGATAGAAATAAAATTTCAAAAATGAATACTGGTGATTATGACAATGGATTGAGTTTAAAATTATATTTTCTATTACAATTATTAATTTTGTAAAACAAATCAATTTGTTGACTTAATCCGCTATCATAAAATTACCAGCATATTGATATATACAATAAATCACAAGAAGTATTCATACTTACGCCATCATCAATCAGAAATAATTTAACACATTACGTGTAATGTTTTTGGTACACGTTGAAACTAATATGTTGCAAGAAGTTAATTTGTCAAATTATACTAAACAAAGGAGTTTTAAATACGTAAGAATATTGTATAATTTAGCTGTACTACTGAATTGTACTTCAATTTTAATATCAGAATACAAAAGAACACTGGTAATAGCAAAAAAAAAAAACACCAAAATACAAAATGAAGATATTTAATTAATAATCTTAAAATAGATTTGGTTAGTATAAAAATTTATAAATTTTGCATTACTAACAAATACAAATTATTTATAATTGATAATGGAATTAAGAATAATTCCTGTGATTAATTGTAAAAGAAACATTAAACACTAAATTACGATAGTTCCGCCATTCTTTTTGATAAGGTAAAAGGAAAGAAAAGAAAAAAAAAAAAAAAATATATATATATATATATATATATATATATATAAAAGTAAAGGTGTCATAAAATAGAGGAAAAAAGAAAAAAGAGAGTAAGAGAAGAGAAAGATAATATATATATGCGTGTGTATGCGTAGATACGAGCAAGGTTATTCGTCGGCATGGGGTGCAGAGCCCTTGTTAAGTCCCGCTCCTCAATACAATCCAGTAGAAGCACAGACGAGAGTAAATCAAGCACCAACCAATGGGCTGATAGGTGGTAGTAGTACTGGTCACGCCCACGCTCATCCCCATCCACATTCTCACCCCCGTCTCCAAGGACCGAACGAGCATGCGCTTTGTGTCAATGGTGGAGGAGCAACAGTCACCACCCCGGACGACAATGGCAGGCCAAACCTTTGCAGGATATGCGGAAAATCTTATGCTCGACCTAGTACTCTCAAAACTCATCTTAGGACTCATTCTGGCGAGAAACCGTTTAGGTCGGTTTTCTTTTTTCTTTTTCTTCTTCTTCTTAATTTTGTTTTTCTTTTTTTTGTAAACATAATCTGTTCATTTTGTTGTTCATTATCTGTCTTTATACTTCTTTCCTCTTCTTCTTTTTCCTTCTCTTTTTTATTATTCTTCTCGTCGTACATTTTCTTCCCCATTTAAAAAAATGTTCTACTTCGGGAAGGGGTGTTCATTATCATCGTATTAATCATCTCTTGTGGTTATTCCATCCATCCCCCGCTTGCTTCTAACGGACTACGTTCAAATGGGCACAGCCTCGTTACTGTTGGAAATAGAAAAAGGATATGATGATATCGAATTGTCAGATCTTTCACCAACCGACTAATACGCGATTATTATTTGTAATTTTTTTTTTCTTTTTCCTTAAACATAATAGAGTAATATTTATGATAATCAAGAAATTCTTTAAATAATCGTTTTTGTTTAAAAAATCGACAACGTCGCGATCAAAAAGAGAAATAGAATAAAAGGGACAGAGAAAGAGAGAGAGAGAGAGAGAGAGAGAGAAAGAAAAAGAAAAAAAATAAAGAAAAAGTTAAGGGTGGTTTTCATAAAAGGGAGAATGTAATCATCAAAAATAATTTGGATCATTGAATGAGAGACAGCATTAAAAATAGAATAAGTGAGAGAAACAGACAGACAAACAGACAAGACGGAGTTGAGATTATTTATAATATATAGAAAAAATTGTTTAAATAATAAATGAAACATAAAAAAAAAGGAAAATGTGATGGATTTGATTGCAGATGTCATGCATGTTCGAAAGCCTTCAGCCAAGCTGCCAACTTGACTGCCCATACGAGAACACATTCAGGAGAGAAACCATTCCGATGTCCAGTTTGCGATAGAAGATTTTCACAAAGTAGTTCCGTGACGACACACATGAGAACTCATTCCGGGGAACGTCCTTACAGGTACGATGATGATTTTTATCCTTTATATAACAATTTTTCATACATACGAGTAAAGGTTGCTCAAATCGTACCACTGCTTTAAATCGTACCTTTGACTTTTTTATTTAACTATCGTATCACAATAGCGTTTTTAATAGAACAGTCAATAATATTGATTCATTCAATCAGTTTTTGTTACCATCGGTGTACTAGTATAAAGTATATTAATATTTATTAATTTATTAAAATAATTTTATGAGTGTTTTGTTATCATTTTGTGTATATGTTTGATAGATCTTGTTATATAGCAATGTACTATTGACAAATATTTTTGTTCCTATTTTAATTATTTATTCTGTGGTATTGAAATAATCGTTTTATTGAAATAATACCTTAAACAATAGCTTTATTTATTATTTTACTATGTTTATTTGTAATATGACAAGTACCTTGTCTTACTCATAGACGATGCTGAAATTGTATTGGTATGACTTAAAAATAGCCTATTTTTGAGAATTTTTAATTGAAATATGATAAGTCCAAAAAGAAATTCATTTGCAAGCAATTATTATACACACTTTCAAAAACATTCGTTAATTTTTTCATTGAAAGTCGTCACATAATTGCAGCGTCACCGTTTAGTAAAGAAAACCTTATATCGAGAACAATTTTCAGTAAAATTGAAACAATTCACTTGAAATTTATACTAAAAATTATACATTAACATTATCTACAAAATAACGTAGGGATTTCACCTCATCTAATAAGCTTTTTATGAATAATTTTTTACGTAATTTTATACCGATAAATAAATCTTGAAAATATGATGAAAATATGATATGTATCCATATGCAGGAATTAACAAGGAAATATTTTTATGATTATTGTAAAAACTGATTGTACTTAATAAATATCAATAAATATTACCTTTGATTCTTTTGATTTAAATTTTATTCTTGGATACGATTTAGGCTGTAAATGATACGACTTAGGACCCTGATTCCATAGTCGTGCAATATTTATTTATTACGTATTGTTAATTTTATATAAAAGCGTAAAGATATTTCAAACTTAATTAAAATAAATGAAATCAATTTTTAATGATATTATCTTGTTTACATATAAAATTACAGATTATACTATAAGCTGCACTTTTTTAGTACGATTTGAGCAATCTTACATATATACAAATATGTTTTAATTTTTGTATTTATTTTGAAACTTCTTAGTTAGCTAATAAATTCTAATTAATTTATATAAATAAACTATTATTCCTTTCAAATGATTTATACATATATGTATGTATATATTTATATAAAATAATAAGTGTATATATATATATATATATTATATCACTATACTGTGCTATTATATTATACAGTATATTATAGTATATAGTATATGTATATTATATTATTGTTATATTATTATTATTATCATTATACTTTTTATATATTTATTTGATAAAAATAATATTCAAAAAAAAAGAAATGTAAAAATTATAAAAAAGAAAAAATAACTTATAACAAATGAAATATAAAAAAATAATACAAGTCTTCTCCCATTTTGTTTTATTGGATACGTAATATTATTTTATGTATATTACCTCTTTATGTATTTATATTTAATAAATATAAATATTCAGTTATATATAGAAAGAGTATAGTCAAAAAAACCATTTGAAATAATGAATTAAAAAAAACATAATCTTCTTCCATTTTGTTTTGTAGATGTCGGCTCTGCAAAAAAGCGTTCTCTGACAGTTCGACGCTGACAAAACACTTACGAATTCATTCCGGTGAGAAACCTTATCAATGCAAGGTATGTCTCCTAAGATTTAGTCAAAGTGGCAATCTCAACAGGCACATGAGGGTTCATACAGCAACCCTAACGTGACACAATTCAACGAAGACAATCGATAGCAATCATTCGCTGCCACGATATTGTCGAATACCAGTTATACGGCATGGAACTGGAACTATTACTACTACTACTACTACAATTAATACTACTATTACTACTACTGCTATTACTACTACTACTACTAATAATAATAATAATAATAATAATAACAATAATAATAATACCTTAACGAAAACAATTTAGAATAAATAATCGATATAAATAGAATGAAAAATACAAAAATCCGAACACTGCGTTGTGTCGTGTACAGCTGACAAATTTTCTTTCTCTTTCTCTCTCTCTCTCTCTCTTTCTTTCATTACTCCCGATTATAAGCAACAATCATGACGAAAAAATAAGAAAAAAGAATCCAAAAAAGATAATATACTTAAAAAAAATTCCTAAATGTTTAACACGTTCCGTGCCGTGTGGGATGTGTGAGCCCCACGCTGAACTTTTCGTTCAAGACATCAAAAATTGTCATCGTAAAATGAAGAATATTTTACAAATCTTGTATGCAATCAATTGTTGGCATCTGAATACTATTGTTGCTGTGTTTATTTGATCATGGGGCGTATACATCCCACGCGGCCTTAATGAAAAGTCTTCAAAAAACGATCTGGTACGACACGTGTTAACGAACTAATTTTAAGTGAAGCATATTAGTTCTTCAATAATGGAATCAACTAATAAAATTGCATACATGAAAAACTACAAAATAAAAATAAATAAAATTATAATCTTTTTTTTTGGAGATGTTCTAAAAAAAAAAAAAAAATACTCATACACACATATCGAATCGATCGTCCAATTTTAAACCTTCGAATAGAAACGAAAATCAAACCCAAGCAATGACGAACAAATGAAATGAATTAAATAAAGGAAACAATAAATAATTTTCTTCTACGATCGAAAAATTTTAGTTGACAATCGTGAAATACGATTGACATTTTATACTTTTCAAATTTGTCAATAGATCGATAGAGAGAGATCCATAGATCAATCGAATAGGGTGTCCCAAAAATTCCTAGATAAATATCTTGACAATTCACTGAAAAATTCTAAATTTTATTTGGAAAATATTATATTACAAATGGCAGAATATTGTCTTTATAATTTTTAACACTAGAGATATACCAGACCAGTCATTTTGACTAGACGGCCATTTTAATTCAAAATGTCTACTTCATGTAACATTTGATTTCTGTAAATAATTAAGAGTTTTGTTATTTAAAAATATCTATAAATCCATTTTTCTATTAAAATTATTATTGTTAAACATTTTTTAATATTTTTTAAGAGTAAATAAAGACTGGAAGCCTCAAAAAGCATTTTTTTTATACACCAGTCATTTTGACTAGTGTGATAAAAAATGGTGGTGTATCTAGTGTTAAACAAGTTTGTAATTAAAAATTCATAACTACATAATATGGAAAATAAAAATATCGTAAATATTCTAATTATAAATCAAATTAAATGAATTTTGTCTTCGTTTTGTTTTTCTAAAGAAATTTGTTGGGATACCCTATACGATGAAGACCAACAAAATAAAATGGAAAAAGAAAAAAGAAAAAAAAATATTTCTTAAAACGCACTTCGCCATTAAAATAATACTCTAGAATCGGGATTAGGTTGGTTGACAGGATATATCGTAATTTAGATCTTCAACATCCACCATAGCACCGTTGATTATTGTACAAATATTGTATTTATTATAATTAATTATAATATTAATGTGTTGCTGTGTGTTTTCACCACCCTATTTTTTCAAATTTTCATATATCGTCGTGTGGCATTTTTATTTAAATTTTTTCTTGTTCTTGTTGTTGTCGTCTTATTTTATTTTATTTTAAATTTTCTTTCATTCTTTCCTTTCGCGTTAACTTTATAACGTCAGTTCGTTTTTATTATTCTTAATTTCTTTTTTATTCATTTATTTACTTTTTAATTAATTCTTATATATACATACATATATATATATATATATATATATATATGTATATACACATGAAGATATATATATATATATATGGGTGTGTGTGTGTATACATATATATATATATACATATACATATACATATTTAATTTTTATATTAACGAAAGTGTTTTCACTGACGCCATGTTTTTTTTTTGTTCTTTTCCAAACGAACAACGAAATAATATGTAAATATTCATACATACACACGCACGCACGCACGCACGCACCCACGCACGCACACACACACACACCCAAACACACACACACACTTACATATACATATATATATTACATATATATACATATATGTAATATTTTATTCGTATGACGAGAAAAAAGAAAAAAAATATATATATATATAATAACGGAAAAAATATATTTTAATCGATTAAAAAAAAAACGGATGAGAGAATGGACATGTGCGTTTTCTTTTTTTTGTTCTCTTTTTGCAATCCCACAGCAGATCAGGATCCACGTATCGTCGGTCGTGTGGGCTAGGCTATGGCAACCAGCCCTTTTTCGAGTGGTGGGGGTATCAGAGGGCTCTGGGAAACAACGGTGATGAAGGAAGAGGAAGAATAAGAAGAAGTAAACTCGGGTTCGTCTTCAGGGTTACACTCGACCTTGAACCAGGGAAGGGGTTGTTGTTTGGAAACATTTTTTGTATCGTGAATTTGTTGTCACACATTGATTTGCCTCTTTTTCCACAAGATTCAAACTATGTAGGTATGTATGTGTATGGATGTATTTATGTATGTATGTATGTATGTATGTAGGTATGTATGTATGTATGTACGGACAACTTTGTCTCTCACTTTACAGAATATCATTTTTACTTTTCATCATTATCATAATCATAATCATTATCATCATTACCAACATCATCATCATAATCATTGTCATCGTCATCATCATCATTATTATTATCATTATCATCATCATTCATTAAAAATCTTTCGCTCAATCTTTCTTTATCCTCTGTTTCTTTTTTTTCTATATATATAGTTATAATATTTATATAAGTAATAATTATTCTTAAAATAACAAAAAAACTCAAGGAAGAAAAAAGGTATTTTAAAGAATACTACGTAATAAAAAAAAAAAGAAAACAAAATCAAATAAAAGCAAAAAAGAAAAATTAGAAAAAGAAGAAGAAGAAGAAGAATTACAACGTTTGTCCAATGAAGATGGGTTAAAAAAATTTGAGCCTTAAAACAACTTTTATTTTGTTAAAAATTAAAAAAAAAAAGGAAAGAAATGTTGTTCTTCTATGTTAAGCTCAAAATTTTTCAACTCACACACATACACACATACACACACATGCACGCACGCATGTATGTACCGGCACGGCTATGCAGGGACGAAGTTGGTCCGCCGTTTTGTTTATATATATATATATATATAATTATTTATATTATTAATGTGAAAACTTATCTTTAAAATAATAAAGATATTACCTTTCTTACGAGGAGAGGGAGGGAGGACCATCTTGTCGCGCAAAGTTAACGTACCACACTTGTGTTACGATTTATTATAAACTGTTCTTCAATTTTCTTTTCATATTTGTTTTTCTTAATGTACGTAGTAATCTTGTGTATGCTTAAGGCATATATATAAATATATATATATATATATATATATATATNATATATATATATATATATATATATATTTATATTTATATATACGTATGTATGTATTTGTGATATTTCGTTCATTTCGTTCATTCTTTACTCTCATCTTTTCCTAATATCTATCTTTATTTATTTATTTCTTACTTTCTCTCTCTCTCTCTTTTTTTCTGTGTTTGTCAAACAAACTGTACTTGCTATTATCTGACTTTCATTTAATATTTAGATATATTTTCTTTTTTACATCACTTGGAATGATTTTCATTCGCATGAAAAAAAAGAAGTAATAATAGTATTAAAAATAATAATAATAATAATAATAATAAATTATTAAAGAAAAGTATAACAAACAACTAGGAAAGAAAAAGCTCATTGAGATGTAAAAGTGACAATATCCAGAAACTTATTCAATTACAAATATCAAACACTTTTCGGTCTCTATATTTTGTTTGTTGGTATGTTATGTGTTTTGTAGTAATTTTTATATAATGACGAAAACAAAATAAATGTATATATATATGAATATTAGAAAAGTATATGATAACTAATTCAATATCTGTATATTAATTTCAATTTACGCATATTTAATAAAACGTTGTCACAAAATATCCAAATTATATATAATATATACATATTATATACATATGCATATATATATTTTTTAATGACAACCAATCAAAAAGTTTTAAAATTGCAACAGTTAATCCATTGACAGCGAAGCATACAAAAACAAAACGTGATAATAGCGTTTAGTTAGCTACAAGGAAGTATTTAGAATCGAACGCCTATATGCGCCGTTTGTAGTAAAAGTATAACTTTCTCTAAACACGCCTGTGATATATTTTCAGTCAAAGGATTAATTTTCTTATTGATAAATTTGAATTTAAAGATCATTGTCATCATCATCATAATGATCCTAATTAAAAATAAGACAAAAATGATTATACAAAATATAAATCAAATGTAGATATGTATATCTCTAAATAGATCTTTTTATATGTATATATGCATTTTGTGTGTGTGTTTTAATTTATTTCATCATTTGTGGATATTTGTTTTATCTCTCTTTAATTAATTTTTACTCAATTTTTTTATTATTATTATTATTATTATTAATTGTCAGATATTATTATATCATACTAATCTCCGACATTAATTTTCATTATTTTTCTCAAAAAAATTATAAACATTACTCTCTCTCTCTCTCTCTCTCTCTCTCTCTCTCTCTCTGTTTTTCTTTCTTTATTACTTTCTTTTTCTTTCATTTATTTATACTAAGCTGTTATACTTTAACTTCATTTATTTTGTTACTGTGTTTGTGTTGATTTGTTCTCTCATTTGAATGATTCATTACCATTTCTTTATAATATATTCTTCAATGCATGTTCGTAACATCGCTTATTACTTAATACAATAATTAATCATAAGTTTTAATTACCAATTAATAAAACTTGATTTTAGTTGTTTTTAATTCTTATTGTTTTTTCTCTCTCCCACAAACATTCTCTCTCTCTCTCTCTCTCTCTATTT